ACAGCAGCATGCTGGCCTTTATCCTTGTGAGAATATAAAGGGCACCAAAACGCTCCATCTTAACTCTGACTAAAGGGGCTCCAACAATTTTAGCACATCTAACACTGTCAAACATCGACTTTCAAATAACACGAACGCTGACCTATATTACATTAGCTATGTGACCTTGAAGCTACTTAGAAAGAAATTCGGTCAATACCTTTTTTCTTTATATGTAAATATATAAATGTCATAATAGTTATAGTACTCTTCCACAACTACTATAAATAATAATTTACGCAATGATTCGTTTCTATAAAAATGAAGGAATACCTGAATTTATGTAATCAATATTTATTGTTTACTAGTTTTCAATGGAGATGGCGTCGTATGTTCATGTGCAAAAGTTGAAAATTTATTTTCAGTCAAGTCAAGAAAAAAGCGAATTTTGATATTTTTCTTTCCTCTGTTTAAACATCTGTTTGGTCCATCGACATTATAAATGTCACTACAAAATGACGTTTGGGATGTTGAGCCGTATGATTTTTATTTGGAAAAGTATCTATGTAAATTTATGAGTACAATAAATGTCGAATGAGCTTTCCATAAACAATTTGAGAATCCATGAACCTCAGACCAGAATGTTTGGGCAAAGATTTCAGGATAGCCTAGCTTTAATCAAATAAACACGCTTCAAAATATAAAAATGTGTATATTGTAAGTAAAAACAATTTAAGCGGTAGAAGAGTCGTGGTCGATGAGAAGTCTACGCACTTCTTTTTCGTCTCTATTTAACTACCAATTATCGCTTGTGCTTAACGATTTCTCATTTCTCTCTCTGAGCATTGTAACGTTGGCAGTGCAGTATCGGAAGAGTGTGTGAATATCCATCTTGTCCTAAGTGTCACATTGTAAATAAACCTAGCCATTATCCCGTTGCCCTGAATCCTGGTACCATTGTACCTGTAATAGCGTAAAGGGTAGCGTTTTTGTATCCTCTAAAACTAAGACCAACTAAATATTTGCAGCGAAGAAAATAATGTACTTGATATGACTGATTCAATAATCGTGAACAATGCTTTATTCTACTACATCTATCTACGCCTGTACGTATCTGTATACGCCTGACATAAAAAAACTGTTCCATTTGATCGAGTCAAAGCTAATCCTTTTCACGATATTATCAAATGTCTCTGCCCCCCGTGTAGAACGTAAATACGAAGGAAAATCCTCAGACTGTAGTGAATCAAAGAATGAAATCCGACAACCGTGTATATTATTATATCTCATAATCGCATACGTATCTTAAAAAGGTTACATATGACGTGGGTGATCTGTCTAACGAAGAGTGCATTCATATAAGCAAACAAAAGAGAGTTTTTATGTTGTCTTAAGATAAGCTATACTATTTACCTGTCTGCTGAGACCGACACGGATAAAAAAAAAAGCGAAAAAAAAAAAGAGTTATTTGGTTTAATATGTTGAAAAGTCTGCGTCGGAGGGTAAACGAAACTACGAGTTACTGCCAGTACTCACAATGAAGAGATCCCAAGAACGTCACTCATATTTCGTAAGTCTTTAGATTCATTGTTTGTTTCAAGGCCTGTAGAATACTCATCTCATTTCAACTGATCCCAGTTTATTTAATCACGCAATGAAATATACAAACGCGGCATTTTTAAGCACTCATCTATTCCACAGAATACTTTGATAGTTGTGGTATTAAATACGTGAAGCATGTCTTCCTGTATTCATTTGACGTGAACATGCCTATCACGATGTTTAAAGATGCGCTGATTTAAGCATTCTGCAGTGGCTAGGTTTTTTAAGAGATACAAAATTGTAAATAACTAAATTATATCAGCGTAGCCTTGAATAATTTTATCTCTGTCTCATTTAACGAACCAGGTGTGGTGCTGCTATTCGCTGCAGGGCAAATATTTGGCAGCTGCAAACCACTGTTAAGTGTTTTTTATGTTACTACGAGTAAAAACCTGATAGCTTAGTAACATATCTACTGTATATATAAACTACATTTAACATATAGTAACATGTCAATGAGCATTCCAAACTAGTTTCAAATTCTTCCCATACAGCTACTTACACTTTCTAAAAGTAACTTAAAGGGAGGAGTGGTCTGAACGATTCCTTTTAATGCTTCTCATAATCATCATGAACATGTGAGCATTACTGGTCCAAATTTCAGCGTTAGCGAATGGTCGCCATAGTATATGGCTGCTACTGTTTTACAGGTCTACTGGCAAAAGTTTTGATAGCAGGGCCAACCCCGGCTAGACCTTTCTTAGGGCAAGCAAGTCCTTAAAGCTACAAATGGTCCCGAGAATTTCTTCACATAGCTGAAATAGCTAGATGCGTTAGGAAAGCACAGTTGGTTTTGGGAAATCAAATTTCGGTGTGAAAGAAGCCCTAATGGCGTGCTGGACCTAGAATTCGAAAAGCGATTCGAATCAACGACTACTTTGATTTATTCTCCTTTTTCTGGTTAGCACAGGAATTATGAGATTTTATAAGACGTATTTATGGAAAAGATTGGTCTATCGTTTCTAGCAACGTGTGATATTACAAGTACCATTTGAAAATAGGTGCAGTGGCCTAAAGTCGGATTGTGACCTGCTGCTTTGCCATAGTACATTTCTTTACCTGCCACGATATTATTCGACTACTTAATATATGAAATGTATTGAATATACCAACCCAAGTACAAATGCATAAATTTATATAGAAACAAGGAGGTGAACAACGCAACGTTAGCCAAACACGAAACCTCAAAATAATTGCATCGTAACTACTAAGGTTATACTGTGTATGTTTACTGTATTTATTGTTACAGTACAGTGAAATAAATAACTTAAAATAAAATAAATTAGATAAATAGGCTCAGAATATATTGACTTCGAACGAATCAGTATGGCTACTTTTCCAATCAGTGGTGATGCTCACCAGCCATATTCAGCTTAGGCCTAGTAATGGCAAATCCAACGGCACTGCTCCAATGTACTGTAATCTCTTCTGTTAGACTTAAAACAGTCAGCACATTTTATCTTTTTTCAATTAGGGTGACTAAACGTCGGCTAATTATAACAAAACTAGTCGCTAGTAAGTCCTTTACGGCGACTTTAGTTGGCGATACGATGTTCTGCATCGATTCCTATTATTAGACTTTTCGACAGTATATGGATGCTTACGTATGCCGAAGTCCAATTTACTATGAACACCTGTACCGTTTCAATCAAATACCCTGGCTTAGAATTGTTTTAGCTTGATAACCACCAAATTTTCCTGTTCGCTTGGATGATAACTCGAACTTGGTTACCAGCATCATCATACCCATATGGACAAAAATTGATTTCAAATCCACTTTGATGTGATTCGCACTGGTATTCCCGTCTGAATGGAAAGTGTTGCGCATCGTAGAGTTTAGGCTTCTTTGGCTCCTGAGTGAAGTTCACTAGAATTATGTGAAACTGTCCGCGCGCCCGGTATACACGCCCGTCGTCTAATTCTGTTCTTGATCTTTCACGACATAAATGCTATCTCTGTCAACAGACACGTTGGTTTGGTATAAACTTACACCGCCAAAACGATACGTATGCACGATACGCGTTATACAAGTATTCCCGTACTTTTCTTAGATGTGCCGTAGTGTTCGCGATTCGCATTTTGTGGGTTCGTAGGAAACTACCGAAGAAACTTAATTTTGCACATGTAAAGCAGTTGATCAAGACTCTATATTTCTAATGTTCTAGCGAAACAAGGAAATCTAATACTATATATTAAATAATGAGTACACATACTAAATCGATATCGTTAAAGCGTTGGCACGCCGATGTATTCCTAAAAACTACTAAAAGTTACTTGCATATACTTCGCTTTCACATAAAATTGAACATTTTTTTAAAAATAAATCCTCGTAAATTTTACCTTCGTCTTTTTTAAGAAATCATAAAATACGACAGTATTGAATAAAAGGTATTTCTGCATACAACGACGTTTCTTTTTTCACGACGACGTTTTCTCAGTCATCGTTTCACTTCGTTTCCTAAACGTCATTCTAAATGCATTGTACAGAAGGCTTCTAACATTCTAGACAAATTGGTTTTTAATATACAGATGGTTTTTACTTCCCAGCTCCTTAAATGATGGTTGTCACTTGGCGCCTGTAATCAAATAGTACATCATCGAAACAGAGAATTCAGAAACTAGCTAAAAATATAGATTTCATTGGCACTAATAAATTTTGTGTCAGGCTCGTCGATGCAACGGCGTTTCTTGTTGAGGACACCGGTTTTTACAGACTCTATATTAGTTGATTATATGCAGGTTGAATGAAGAGAGCGCCCACCGACGATAGCAATGGGTGTTTGGAATTAGGGCAAATCGTACACGCATGCGTACAGTATTTTATACCAACATTTTCAAACATTTACTCATAATGATAATTACTAGCAGGTTATGCATCATCATCTAACATTTTAATTACCACGTTATTCCCGCTAAATGTATCCGTTCAGCTAACCCTAATTCGCTAATTAGCGAATTTGCAGATGCCGTCACCACTTCTGATCCCTTGTCCAGTTTCGTACTGCCGCCGACCTGATGTTACGAATCGGGAAAAAACGAGATTTGAAAAGAGTGAGTGGACTTCAGGTTGTTGCAGGACACCTAGTAGGTGGCTTTAAACCTTATACTAGTTTTAACCAAAATAGTTAGGCGTAACAGAATAACAGTACAATTGAAAGGCTTCCATAGAGGTAGTCATAATAAGAATCTTAACGGAAACAGCTAGTTTTACAAGGGTTTTACAAGAACAACTGCAAAAAAATACACTCTGCGTTATAACCTGATTTTATGATGTTATAGAGCGAAAACAGATTTTACTAAGTACCAATTAAGTAGGCAAACCATTAAGACAGAGCAGACGATTCCAACGAAGAGATGTTTCTTGTTATGAATACAAATGTGTAACTAACACTAGTTCATTTGCTTAATGGAGGATGAAGTCAGCCGATGTTCTCGTTTTTGACTCCACCGAAGAGGTATCGATCAAGATGAGCGTTGAACTGCTTGCAAAAGTTGAACTGATTAAGGACGATTCCGGGTACACCGTTGCTAGAACGCATGTCAATGAACCTGCACATAGTTCACATAATATCAAAAACAGTACAGTAGCATCATTATCAATACTAATTACGTGCATTATTCATTACCTAATTATGATTCCTTATCATCGACAACTTCTAATTTGACTTGGTCGAAACAACAGTTGGAAACGCAGCCTATCATTACAATTATGTGACTGATGATACTGCACTTCCGAGTATTATGGCCACAAAACACTATTCAGGCGTTCTTGTGTTGCTTACACTGGAGTTACAGCGATAACATTGTAGATAGTATCAAATAGTCCCACATTGGATTTAGATATTTAATCGGGCATATGGGTTCAAATAATTACTTGCATAAATTAAGAGTAATTTAAAAGGCATATGCTCTCTGGATATGGATATACGAAGGCTATATCCTTGCTGTCTTCACTCGTAAAACCACGATATGTAAGCTGACTAATGTAAGTTTGAAAAGCTTGCCTAAGGAAAATGCTTCTCGGGTATAGAAACCAGATGGCGATTTCACCTGAGGCAATCGCTCAAGTGGACATGATGGTCTTCATCGACCGTATACCCCGCATTTATATACGATGTTTCAAACTCTAATTCTATATGTGATAACCAGAATGATGTTGGAGGATTGTTTCACTGTTACATTGGCGTCATGTACCAGAAAACTAAGTTAGGTGCTTACGTCGAGAACTTCAAATTATTATAGAGTTCCCGATGCTTATTATATAGAATACGTGCAAATTGACGTAGTGGTCTAGTTGCAAATTTGATTAAGGTATGCTATTATTATTAATTACTGTGAGCTTCATGCTGAATGTGCTCGTTTTCCTAATGTCCACCCTTGAATATAATAACGAAATTCTTCAATCTCAATTAATATATCCAGAGTTCGAATTAAATTCACGCGCGAAGTTCTATAGAAATATAAATTTATATGTGAATAGTAGAAACTACTCCGTTTACAACTACAACTACCATTCGTCGCGCATAAAATGGACGTATAAACGACGTGGTATCTTTTATATAGTTAATTTTCACTGCAGTCGAATTGAGACATTAATTACTACTTTACTTTTAATTTTTTTATTAATCTAGCTTGTACCTATGAATTAATGCATTAGGACTTCCATAATGCGATTTTAAAAATAATAATAATTTTAGAAAAATCAGTGATGCTCATTAAGGCGGGAAGAGAATCTCTAAGAAATGAACGGGAACCGATTTCTCTATCATGAATTTTTTGCTAAACTTTTAATTTTTAAGTGGGTTCCTTTTTGTTATTTATAGCGTTAGAATTTTCATTTTAAGTGCTATGTTTACCTTATAAAATATTGAAATTGTGCTATTTAATGAATGCTAGATCTAATTCAAATTCGCACCGAAGTAGGATCATGCGATCGGGATAAGATCATAACAACGTGCTTGTAGACTGAAGGAGCAAGAGAGTCTTCCAATGCTAAATTGTAATATTTCATTGCCTTTAAAACACAAGAGAAGGTAAAGACAACAAACAAGAGAATAACAAAAACTTAGCGCAGTAAATACGTCCAGAGTTGTTCTTCTTTTGATGATTACTTGAGAAAGTATAGGCCTCTGCTTTGAAGGCTATACCAAACGCTCTAAATATTGTGGAAGCGAATTATTGTAAGGGGTGAAATATTTGCCTTATTTGTCACTTCTAAAATTAATTAATCTGACTTTGCGTAGATACTGTCAGTCACTGTTTCTTGGTGGGATTGTAAGCAAAAAGCATTTAAGCTTCAGAAACACATTATTGTTATACGACGTGCGCGAGGGCTTCAATTAAAGCAACAAGCACTTAATTAGTCATGAAGTAGATTTATAAATTCACCCACCATTCAAGATTATTGGAAGAAATAGTATTAGCGATGGGCGCATAGGGCGGTGGCGGCTTGATCCACGCGCCATCTGGGCGGCGCATTCGTTGTCTGTTTGAAGCAAAGGTAGCTAGATAATCGCGAGCGCCAAGACACCTGCACGACGGGATTTCATGGTGAGAACTAAGTTTCATTAATTAAACAGCAAAAAGTGAAAAGAGAACTTACTACTGCGATGAAAAGTAATACACAATTATTCATTACTTGTATTGACTATAGAATAATTCATTATGATATTATGGTAGTTTCATCACTTCCTATAGATTGTACCGGATGTGTCTCCTAAAGCCGTGTTTAAGAGGCACTTGGGGCTTGAACGCTTTCCAAACATATTCTTCCAGAGGTACGGGAAACGCTAACGTCGTATCTAGGTCGTAGACGTAAGTGCAGCCGTTACACGACTCATGGTAGTAGATCTGAAATAGGTTCGGCAGGTCGTTATTAAGGCATTGTCCTATTGGCAGGTGACACCTGCTCAAGTACACTTACTTTTTTAGGGTGTGCTTGGTCTCTTATTTCATATTGAAGTCTAAATTATCGAATCCCTGTATTTGCTAGACCAAAAACTCCGTATTCACTTTGTTGACATACTTTAGTCAGCATTGGTGACCTCTCTGCAATCACGATTTGTTTAAACTTTCTGTTTTTGAGTCAGTTTAGCAGTGATTTTCACGGTAGAGTCTTCAAATTCGTTGCTTATTGCGGAATAGGAAAAGAAGCACAATAACCAATTTTAAAAATTGTCGTCACCACTATCATTGCATAGCGGCGTTCTAGAAGGACAGAGTCAGGTAAAGACGAATCATGCCAAATCAATACTCACCATAATAACGTGATAGTCCCAAATAATATGTCCGTCATTTGCTTGATCACCAGCTCTTTGTCGCCACAATGGAACGGTTTGTGAGGCATTTGAAATAAATGCTACGTAACATGAATCTAACAATTCGGTCTCCCTGTTAATTAAAAACGAAACGATCATACAAATGCTATAGTATCATTTATGTTCTATGTCGCACACCGAGATAGGGAAGAGTCCATACTGTTTAGATTAATATAAGGAATATAAGAGTATTATTTATTACTTATTATCTAAGTAATTACTATCATAATAAAATTAGTCTGCTTACTGTAATAGTCTTAGTATTATTAGCTAATGTAATTCAGAATATAGAGCTGATGATAATAGTTGTTAAAAACGCTGCTTAAATTTATAACAGTATGAAACAGTTACGTAATAATCTTGTGTGAAACACACCCTTAATAATGGTTCAATAGTGAATGCTTAACCTGGCGAAATTTAACTTATTATGACTCAGTATGAATTATACTAATTAATATTCATAATGAAAATAAAAAAGAAGTACTATAGGTTTTAGGACCTGATCATTCTTGGCTATTATAATCACGCACTTGTTCTTGATGAGTTCGCATAGCTTATATATATTTTCTTCACAATAACAAGCTGTGTACATGAGCTGATCTTTGGCAGGCAAGTTTGGCAAATGGTGTGATGTAGACGTTAGAACTGCTGCTGTTGAAGTCAATGCGGGGGTTGCCTCGACATCGTCTTGGACTGCCTTTTCGTCGCCATCTGTCGCGCGTAATGACATGGTATATTTTCTGCAGCGTTGCAATACAAAGGATAGACAGATATTGAATAAAAGTTATTATATGACTTTTTATGAGGCTGCTAGTTTCACAAAGTATCTATGCTTTCGGAACACTTCTAATAACCAAATCTACATAACGGTTACTACCACTGAACCCAGTCATTGGCCAATAGCAGCCAACATCTATGTGCATTAAAAAAAAAATAAACCATCAAAAATTGCTTGCACCAATAGAGAATATTAAAAACTTGAGTATTCCTTGGTTGAATTGCCCTCAGGGGCCATTTTGTTATCAGAACAAATCATTATGCCAAGAAGATGCCGAAGCCCAGCAACTGCATCTGATCACATCAGGCCAAATAAAAAAACACGATATTTTTTTTGGTTCCAAACAATAAGTATTTCATAGAGCTTGCCGTATTAAGGCTTGTACAATCTGCTTTTCCCCACAAAATGCATTTCAATAAAGGCTTCTTACATAAGCGCTCAACTCCGATTTTAACAAGCGTCTATAATGTATCACTTTCGTTAGTCTAATATACGGAATAATAAGCACAAAACAACTCAGATAGTATTACAGCAATGTATCAATTATAGCGACGCGATGCGCTTGTGTTTATTTAAATATGAATTTTTCATTGTTATATACGCTTTAACTACACATGTTTATCTACATTTAGCAAAGCGCGTGCATCATGCTTTTCCACTTCGGTATAATCAAATACTATCACTCGTCTGTCTCAGCCTCTTCTGGCTTATTTCTCAAATCAAAGAGGAAAGTTACCCTCTAATGGCTAGGCCAACAACTCGCTTTAATTTCAAGATGATATTCCTATTCATTACAGTTGTCCAGTTAAACATTGTTACTTAAATTAATTCAACGATAGATACCGCAGAAAGACGATTCTTCGTTTCCTCAAGTCTGCCAAAGCCAATTTGATAATCAGTGATGCATATCGATTATTTTAATCTCCAATAATGTCATCCGAACTATCAACTCTACGGTCGCTAAAAAAAACCCCAACTTCTACAGGATCCAAAATGATCTGTCTCGCTGATTCATAGACTGGTCCATAAAAATCTACAAAGACCGGTTTGTAAACAACACAATTTTCGTCCGGCTTTATTCGAATAAAGCCATACTTGAGACATTATATGCATGTGCAATGTTCGTTTCACCACGTACAAATCACAAGAACTTTGTACTTGGAACCCGGTAACTCAGACGAAGATTTTTGACAAAGTGGCCTTTCGACGACATTCTTGGGGTAACTTTTTCGACCCTACGTATAGCACGTCTAGTCACATTGGACAAGCTAATTACACGCTTAAGGGTAGATGAATACGACTATCTGTCTTGCAACATATTCATGAATGATCCTATAGAAGGCCAAGTTTTTGTTTATCCTTGATTTTCTTTTTTACCACGTCGATATTTCTCTCGTTCCATGTACTTTTTCGTAATTTGATCGGTCGACTACCGACATATTTCCCATTCAGCTCACGCATAGCCTTGATAAATCCTTGCGGTTCCTTAAAGCTGACAAAGCCGTACCCCTTACTTTTATTCGTGCGTTTGTCTCTGATAACTTTTGCTCGAGCAAACGTCGGATACTTTGAGAACACTCGTGTTAACATATCATCAGTAACATCATTGCCAAGATCACCGCAGAATATTCGGAAGTCATCGGGATCCCATTCGGCTAACGAGCTGTCTTCCCACACCTGTTGACCAGCCATACGAATTACTTTCTTGCTCTTCTTTTTTGGTGTGTCTTCACTCCCGTTGCCGACCGCTGACACTGGAGGTCCAGCTGTAATAACAGCCGCACTGCTCGCCTGCGCCGCGACGATGGACGAAGCAAGCTGACCCGTTACTTTAAGCGCAGACGGCGCTGTTTGGAGGGTAATCGCACCGCAGTTAGCTTTTTCATTTGCTAGGCTGTTGTTGTTTTTGGCTTCCTTGAGTTCTGCTTCGGCTTTCTGCAATGCCGCTAGAATTTCATCTGCTTCCAGATCGGCAGCCTTCTTCGGGGGTGCACTGTAAACGGTGACAGCCGGTTTCCCAGTGATCGTTGTCGGCGTCGCGGTGGACTCAGCCTGAAATTGCGGCGGTCGCATTGGTGAACACATTGGTGGTGGCTGATGTGGGTGACGAAGACGCGACGGGATCATTAAAGATGATGGCCTAGGAGGCATTCCCATTATAGATGGCTTAGGCGGCATCCCTATTGGGGGCATCGACATTATTAGCTGTTCTGGTGGCGGGGGCATACCCATCATGGATGTGTCCCCAGGTCCCATTAACATCGATGGATCCGGGGGCATCATCGAAGGAGGAGGGTGTTTCGGTGCCATTATAGACGGCGGTTTAGGTGGCATCATCATTGGAGGCATCGGTGGTGGTCGCAAGCCGGCGAGATTACGCTGCAACTGTGGAGGAATAAAGAGATTTGCAGGTGTTGGTGGACCACTAGCCGGAACGGCTGATGGTAAAGGAGGAGGTGGGGGCGGCGGGGGCGGTGGAGGTGGCAATGTCTGTTGAACCTGGAGAATCTCCTGTTCAAATCGTGCCATCTCTTCCTCAATTTGACGACGTCGTTGTTCGTCCTCCATAGCGTCTTCGTGTTTGTTATATTTTCCAGTTATGTATCTACAAACGAACAAAGAAGAAGCTAATTAAGTTAATGAAGAAAGATTAATATAGCTATTAAAGCTATATTAATTATTAAACTATCACGCTGTCAAATGTACCTTAATAAATAACAAACTGATTAGATTATGGTCTTATGCTAATTAAGAATTTCAAGAGAAATATGAAAGAGATCCCAAGGAAACTTCAAAGAAAATATTGTACAAAAAACGTAGAACTAGATTCGATGCTGAGTATACATTTATGTAATGTTTTAGAGCAACTAGAGCAATATATACAACATGCATATATTTAGTTGTCGTCTTGCAGTACAACTGTGTGGACCCTAATAAAATAACAGTAATGTTGCTAATACAAAATATCATTAACACTCTTATTAGTTAATGTTTATATGTATGCAGAAAATGGCACCTAAACTAGTGTTATTTCTTATGCTTTGTTCCTATGACTGTATCCAAACGAAAAGAATTATTTCAAAACAGTTTTTTTCCTAATGGCCTTATTTACTGGATATAACAACAATTCATCGCAATCACAGCTTTAATTCGTAGCCTAAAACACCATTAATCAAGCGATATATGGCCTAACACTTAAGGGCCCAAAATAACTAACGATTTCCTAAAGTGGCCGAAAGCTTAAAAGGGTTAACTCTTAAAGCTTACCTTGAGAGTTTATTTGATAATTGTAATTTTCTTTTCAAAACGGCTGTTAACCAATTGTCAGTTGGTTCATACAGACAACTTGTTTTTATTAACTTACGTGTCAGTAATCCTTTTAAGCTTTTGACCTCTTTTTATGTCTTCCTAATTTTTTTATCTTTTAATTTTTTAATATATTACATTTTTTAGACTTCTGGCTTACTATCAACTCAATTAATTATTTCCGCTGCCATTTCTTTTATATACCCTATTTGAGTAACACTTCAAGGAGTTAACACTTAGCTGTATCGTTTTATGTATGATTAAAACTAACAAGTTATGTGCAAACTACAAAAGGACTGTTTTAAATAACTAAATAGTGCTTTAAATCCACAATTGAAGCTGAAGTCGCTGTCTATAGTAATTGTATTGAATAAACTTCAGCCTTAGAAATGCTATTACTAGCACATGCAAGAAAATTCGCTAAAATATTTGTTTTTGTTTAGAAACAGTTTTTAATACGAAGGCATAAAAAGATCTGAAGTAAGACGCGCTATATTGTGCATATACAGATATACGGAGTGGTAATTTGCTTCATGCGACTACTGGAACTCCTCCGATATTAAAACACTGTTAATGTGGTGCGCTTATAGAAATATGTGCGAACTACTTCCTCTAAAACGACTCCCCAACCTTTGTTTGCCTTCGGAATTTAAACTAAGCTACACCTCATATAAATCTAGAGTTTTAGCACTAGATGATGGCCGATTATATGGTTATAACCGATCCTGATTTCATTCATACGGCACATAATAGAAACTTTTCCACATAAAATTCACTGAGTTACTTTAAAACATAACCTTTCCTATTTCATACCCAGAAATTAGTTTTAATTATATATCGATCTCCGCGCATAATACGTTTACGACTGTTCTGATAATTTTTTTTAATATGATTTTTTATGCAACTTTGTTAAAGATTTTCGTACACATAAACAAACAACCGTGCAGATTTGGTACCGGTGAACACTCCGATGCTTTAAATGCTACTATAGTGGATCAGGAAGAGAAGAATTTTCCTTCCTGAAGGGCAGTCTTCTTTTAAGTATTTCTTCATATAAACATACTTTATTTTACACGGATTCGTCAAGTCATATTCCGTACACATGAAGGTGCAGAATCGAATAATACTTAAACTGTAGTATAAACCTTGCGGTAATGGCACAGCGATTAAGATCAGCTCGTAAGCGTCTTAGTTGATATTTAAAGGAATACAGAGACAAAGGAAGGGTATTTTGGGAGGTTGCCATCTTACCTGATAATAATTATTTAAAGTTGAAAATGGATCAGGATGAAAGAACCGGCTGCTGGAAGATCCGTTCTTCTAACCAACTGACATTTTTTTCAATCTGTTTCCGTCGAAAAAGTGGTTCAGACATAGAAAGTTTTGCAGGATGGTCGAACAGTCAGCCAATAATACAGTAAACAGCATACGGTACACAGTAATAGAACGTTTTTATATCAATCATCAGATGGAATGGACGGCATCGCATTAACACAAACTATAAGAGAAGAGAATTTGCTTGAACCTAAAACGATTTTTATCATTAAATAAAGTAATCCTCACTCAAATAAAACATCATCTTCTTACCTAACAGTCTATGCAGGCAGGTGAAATTCTTTACACATGAAATCTTCTTTTGATCTTCTAGATGTTTTGTAGTTTTTGGCTGAGCTTTCGTTCGATTACATTCGACATCTTTTTGAAGCGGGTGGTTTCGATACGGTGATTTGCCCACATATATTATTGATAGCGTCTTTTGCCTAATATAAAGCCAGAAAACTCTACGACTGGAGAGACGTTAATCCTGTGATAAATATTATCCCCCCAAACTCATAGTTTTTTCTTATGCTAGTCCAATCGTCATAGTGAATGTAGCACTGATTATGAGTGATGGCCTCACTGTTGAGTAGAAGCTTGGTCAATGAGAAAAAAATCAACAATTGTTTTGGAAACTTTGACTTAAGACAAAAAAATGTGCAAACTGTTACAACGTATGTGGTACGTTATGGACAATAATTTCTAGGCAAAATAATGGAAGAGATAAGCTAAGAGTTTGCACAATTGAATCGCTTACTCTAGCATCGCTGAAGCTTCTCCTTAAGCCGTTGATCACGAATTGTTGTCTCTGTTCAGTTCCGTTTCGGTTTCCTTTTTGTTGTTGGCCTCGTGGTGTTTACATCGCCAGGGTAAAATTTGGCTTGAAACTATGTCTATTTTGTTAGATTTATACAAAACCGTAAATGATGATCAGTGATCACTACGGCAGAGTACTGAAGCGAATAGAGATTAGATATAAACTTACTTGATTCAGTCGAATGGATGGCGTATTCTATTTTTTTCGACTCTATTACATCAAACTCCGCCTTAATACATTCTTTTCCTTTCAGAAGTCCATCGTGCGACCTCAGTCATGGAAAATGATGCTAAAGAGATTGTAGATATGTACATTCCCAGAAAGTGGTAAGTGCCGTCGACATCTTTAACAGTAAAAATCGTAGATGACTTTATTAAGCCCATGAGTCGAATGCTAATAGAATCTACCTGAAGCATCTTGAAGAAACTCTTCATCCGTCATGTATGGATGAAGACAGAAAAGCGTTGGACACAGGTTCCATTACAAGCCTTATTTTGGTTGAATTTTCCTTACCTGGCTCAGTGAATTCGTCGCAGGCGACATTTGGAATTTTGCCTAATAGTACTTTGAGGCCGAGTTTGGTGTAAAAACTACATCCATAAGTTACTTCCATATTACTGCATGCGGTTAAGCATTTCCCATATCTTATTAAAGTAAAAAGAATGTTAGCATATTGTTTTTAAACCTGTCTAAAAATACGTTCTATGAGAAGCCTAATATCCATTTGAAAAGCTTCTCTCAGTGTGTTAATAAGTCTAGCAACTAGAGAAAGTGTTTGCTTTGTGTTGTGTTATGGAATCCACCCATCAAGTGGTAAACGTTGTAGGACGAAAATGGCTGCTGGTGTTTACTTTACGTGGTTCTTTGATGGCCTAGTATACAAACGACCGCAATGTTGTGTGTATGGCTATAATTTAGTCATTTCTCACATCAGGTGGCTGTAGTTCAAAATCTAGGGATTAGTATTGACGAGTCCTTAACTTGCTTAAGTTGACATCAAAGTGGCCACGGAAAATTAGCGTTCCAATTGTTTCATTTGGTGACCTGCTAATACAACTTACATCGACTGAACAAAAATCCTTTGCTCGTTGTGACGATTTGGCAAAAAACATCCTTAACTGTTTGAGTGTTTGATGTTGATAATGCGTTTCATATGTATGGTCACTTGTATGTTGTGTTTGTAGGTTGAAATTTTATTTGTCAATGATATAGCAAAAGGAACACACTAATAATTTGGCTACTCGTACCTATCTTACAGCTCTACCTCAAACCGCATTATCCACGCAAAGGATCATGCTTCAATTCAGCTCGAGCTCGCCATGCTCAACGAAAGCGGTAGCACCACTTATAAGACAAAAGCTTTAGCCATTTGCGGCGCTATCCGTCGTATGGGGGAGTCCGATGATTGCGTCAACCGACTGGCAAAAGATTATAGAATGCTACCCCAGAACTTCTGAAATATTTGTTTATGTAAAGAATAAATCGGGTATTAGCGAAGCCGAGAGTTGGCAGCATTAGAGTGCTGAGTCTTCCCGTGCTTCAAGAGAGCCTGACGCGAATTTGACAGTATGTTTTTAATGTAGGTAATCTACTTAGTTGTAGTGTATCTTAAGTAATTTATGCAATTAATTTACATTCATATGCGAAATTTGGCAAAGCGGATTACATTTGACTCTGTTTGAAATATCTATGTATCCTAATGAATGGTACTTGTAATGCCCAAGCGGTACTTGGGTGGCAGTTACCCAGTAGATCTTTTCACAGAACACGAATATCTATTCATAATTAAATTGTCATTGTTGGTTCAAGTGGACAGCCCCACTTTGACCAGGATAATTATCAAATTGATTAGAAAGATTCATCAATTATGTGCACGTCGCGTAATCATACTACACTTAACGACTCTTTTTGCATGTTTTAAGAACTATTTTCCTTCAAATAGGTACTAAGACTTACGCTTGATAATGATTGCACCCTTCTATGCCCGAGTGGTATCGACTTATCGAATGTCTGCTGCTCTGACTCGCAGAAGGAACAGAAATTTGGTCATAATTAGGCCGCCATTGCTTTCCTCTTAGCGGGGTGACTTCACTTTGGCTAATACAATGAGTTGCAGATCTCGATCTATTGCTGCTGCACATTATTGAAAAAATTGTATAGAAAACTCAGATTGTCATTGTCTTCTTTATCCGGGGGCAGTTTCGCAAAGATTCTTTGTTCCGACATGGGGGAGGTATAATTTGAAGAAACTGAAGCGGTTTTTCTATCAGCTCTGCTTGGGCTATTGATTCGATACCAGTTTGAGAAGATATTTTAATCCTTTAGTTAGTTTTGCATAGAATTACTGCATTTTCGTCTTATCTTGTGTGAGTAGCCCAAGCCTGACCATATGGTGTCTCGCACAGACAAGGGACGATAAAATGACATCGACGTGATTATTAGTCGCTAGCCAATTAGCAGTGGCGGGCCTTGACTTGACGAAACATCGAACAAACCTCCTCAATAATAGAGATCTATCATTTTATACTATACAAACATTAGAGAAATCTTTTTTGGCCGAGCCATGAGGCTGACTCTTTACTACCTACGCAGAAGTTTGATGATATAATTTGGAGGGAGATACGTCGGACTTGCAGCAGTATGCCTTTGGTGCTACACTAAAAACAACCGCATTTACTACTTCTATTTCATGACATATCCGAATATAAAAGGCCAATAAAGCTTGGTAATAAAGAATGGTATTTATATTGTATTTGTTCTACAAATATTACTTAAAATAAACAGGTTACAATTATTACAATTTTAAGTGTGGTACCTTAAGATCGCTGGTTGCATTGGTGCCTGGCGTACGCTTTAGCTTACGCTTTAGCTAATTTGCTCCCAAAATTTTACAAGTCCAGGGCCGGTATCAGATTACTGCGGTCAGTGAGGACTTAAATCTGTCAGGAGGAAGATACGTCCGTGGGCTGTATGCGCCATTGTTGCATTATTTGCTTTCGCGTGCAATTTACAAAAGGAACCTCTATGTTTCGAAGAAAACCCGAATGCACTGTAAAATGGGTTAGGAAGGTGATTGAGTCCTTAAGCGTTGTTGGCGGACTTTTTTTTACCGCTAACACACCTTTTGCTTTCAGGACTAGAGTAATTCGTAATGCACACCGTCTTTTTTCGGTCGTTTCCCTTAACAAAACTACATCTTTTACCGAAGCGATGCCGGTTGTCTTGTGAAATACAAAGAAAATTGTAGTAAATATTCGGCCGATTCCTGATAATATCGATTTTCTGATGTCTTTCGGGTTCTAGTCTTAATGACGTCTCAGCTCCACTACTGTGGAAACAAGAAGACTGCCTTATATACGAGGCGGGAACCTAATAGAGATAATGTAGAGTTTAGTTTTGATCTCACCAGAATTATCGAGTTACAAATTTAACATACTTCTATTTTATTGAGATTATGAAATTTTTCTTGATGTATATATTTACACTTTGTGACGCCACTACAGAAGCTCAACTTCGAAGCGAGAAATAAGTTATTTTCATAGGTCGTCAAAACATACTCCTATACTGGCAGAACAGATGAATGAGATAGTTGTTTGTATGCTATTAATATTTTATTAGGTAATCCACTTTTCGTCTCCCACAAAACCTTTTGGTTTTTCTCTATTGATGCCCTTCTCTGTCATGCTCTCCTTTTCTCTAACTTTCATATATAACTCTCGTCATAATCTTAATTACAATTTGCTAGTTACAACTTGAAACTTTTAGTTTATTTCCGAGATCTCCTATTGCTGTTTAGTTAATGTCGGTCTATTGTGTTTCTACCCTCGGCCAAATTTGCAATATTGAATCATTACAGATGTCACAGGCCTATCAATAAAAATGCCTACATTCTAATCAACCGCCTTAACCTTGCGGTCGTTGTACTCATTATCCTTGGGGGCCTTTGTTAGGTTTGCCATATCCTTTATTTGAACAAGGTTTGACATCTTCAATCTCTTCATTCTCGCGCTTTTTTGGGCCTTTACATTCTTGTAACTGTCCACATACATACTTCCACATGCATACACTTTATTATTCAACGATTGTGAATTAAATAACTCCTGTTTGTCATACCGTAATTTGTAGTTACACGGTTAGTACCGTTGTCATAGAGTTCAAGAATCAATTGTGTTTCCCGTATCACTAACTTTTTCATTAACATTTACACATTCATAGTCTATAATAATTCATTTTTGTGTCTTATTATTATTAACCATGACCTTTTTTTCTCTCTCTTTCTCTCTCTCTCTCCTTTTCTATATATATATATAAATTCTCCTAGAGCGGCTAGGTTTGCATTACACAGTGATGATGTATTTTATATTCCGAATGTACGTACGCATATGTACAAATGTGAAACGTTCCTCGTTACACGGTACACTTTTGGCTTGTTTTCCTTTAAAGAAAAGCTCCCTTACGCTTTCCTGACTTGTTTCCTATCCAAAAAAAAGAAAAAATTATAGCGGGAAACGATTGACAACTAAACAATGAAAACTTTAGGATCAGTGGGACGATTTATTAACATTGGTCGCCTAATCTATGCCTCGATTAATGCCAACAATGGACGCGTTTATCAGACGCGATACTTATTGTGCCACAGAAATCTACAATACAGCGTCTAATACATTGACTACCACTACCTGTGGAAGCGACTCATTCATGTCAATGAAAAGAACTCTGATTTTGCTTTCCATCTTTCGTGGCTCTGCTAGCAGTATTGCTAATATTTATCAGACCATGAGGCAGCGTACACTGCCACGGTATTACTAGTCTCTGGTTATCGTTCTGGTAGCAATGTGTCAATGAACTCACACAATATAGGCATGGAAATAATGATCAGTTCCAGCAGGTTCGGGGTAGTTTTCAACCCACCGCGTCAAACGAGTGGATTTCTAGCCAGCATTTTCCCTTCCACTCATCGAGCTCGCTAGCATTTGCTTAGAATAAACAAATGTTTTATCGTTTACATGCTAAATATTGATTTTGTATATACTGTTTTTAGCTTCGTCACCTAAAAGTTCCCTTTAGTTAAACCAGAATGTGTTCGCATTATAAAGCTTTGTATTCGTAGTACATACGAAACAAAATGCCACATAGATAAACGTCATTGCGGTTTATATGTTGCTGTACATTAATAGCACGGGGTACAATGCGAACAAGTTAATCTGCGCATGCCGAAGGCTACTTGTCTGTCGTCTTACTATTTCCAGCGATCTGCATTTCCAAAGAATATTTGCAAAATTATTTTCCACAGAGTTCTCTAAAATGAATATATAGTCAACATACAGATATTGTACAGCTGCGTAAGGCTATTTTTCCCTTTTGGGCTCAGCATTAACTTTAAACATGCGGTGGGCGTTTGCCTGCCACGCAGTATTTTAGCTTTAGTTCATTGGCAGAACGTCGTTAAATGCCTTAATATCTAAATCTGTTAGTGAAGTTGTTTGATTCCTCCTGAGTTAGAGCAATTGTCTACTACGCTACCTGTGTTATGCGGCAGTATGAAGAGCTTTTTGCTTTTGGAAGCTTTTGTTGAGAGAGCACTTGCTTCACCGATTTTGCAAAAGAATTCGTGTTTAGCGCGTTTTTCTGTGATTATCCGCGTAATCCGAATAATTATCCGTGATTAATAACCCCCTACCGGGCGTATTTTCTATTTCAACGTGTTTCTGGCGATAACCCTTATGTGAGTTCCTGTGTATAATACGTTAGCAACAACAAACACATTGTTGCTAGGTATAGTAGAACACGATTCCTCCGATCGACTCAGCACATAGTTACGATATTTCTAAATACTGATCTTTAGGGATTTGGATCGCTTCTTTAAGAAAAGCCCAGTTTTTGATCTAACTTTCTTCGTTTCATTTGCATAATTACGGCTGTTCAGGAAAAATTCACTCTCGCTCCGATATATATATATATATATATATATATATATATATATATATATATATATATATATAAAATCGCACTCGTATTTAACGTTGTTAGCAATAGTCATAATTACTCTGGTGCGTTTTATGAAAATATGATATTACTGACGTTATACGGTCTTTGAAGATGACCATGTTGTACTTCCTCCGAGACTTACGTTTCGTTGATATACCGTATTAATCTTGTTAAATTTCTGGCTTTTTTCCAAGCTTCCTTAATTTGTTTATTATTCAAAGGGGAAGTTGTTATAAGATCTTCCCTATATCTGTACAGTATATTAAAACCCACGTTACTTTTACTTTCTCCAAATAGCAACCTATTAGTTTTAATACAATACAAAACAATGAAAATGATACTTATATATTTGTATCACCATTTCAATAAGCGATTCCCTAAATATCATTCTTATTGTTTTCTTATCACTCCCATCAATTGTATTTTGCTTTGGTGGCTGTCGTTAGAGGTATCGCATCAGACCATTCAAGCTCGTACGATAAGGAAATTTTTTGAGCAGAATGAAGAACTGAAATTTCTTTGAGTGACAAAACCGTTAACTTTTATAAATATATAGGCAGATGTTGGCATATGCAGTTTATGTTCAATCTATCATTTCGATCGGGTCCACGTACGAGACTTACGAAGACGGCTTAACATCTCGGGCTCAACAATTATATTTTTGTCTTGACAAAGGGTGTAATTTTCGATGTAAATTTCGAAGTACTTCTGTAGTTCTACACAGCTGACGCACCTTTTTTCTACCCATAGAAAAGCTTGTGGCAGTTCTACATTTTAAGCCTGTTAGACTCGCATAATATCGTCATATTGTTCGTACACCTTTATTGCTTATTCAGTTTGCCAGAAAGGTACTTTGCTTCAAAATTCAACGTATTACCTTCGAACCTGGATAACGGATCATGTCTATACTATTACAATGGGCCAATTAAATAACGTCAGTCTGTAGGATGCGAATACATAATATCCAAAGTATTGTACAATATAGACAGACTTGTGTGGATCAAAAGACAGACGCAAAAATAATATTTTGTTAACGTATTGTTTATGTGTTCCCACAATTTAGATTGAAAATTTATATGGTACAATGGCTACGGTTGAGATTGGAGAGAAAAATGCATATACCTTAGCCTATGTTCACTTATTATTAAAGTAACATAAGGTAATAATACAGTGTCGAAACATGTTCGATGCCACACTACTCCCCTATCTTTGTTCAAAGTTCGTCAAATGGATGGTTCTGAATGTGGGTGCACAGAAAAATATGATACGAATAAGATACGGCACACTTTACTAATTTTAGAAACTTTTATGGCAAAAAATGCCAAAGACCTATTTTATGAAATAGGTTTTGTTATGTTGGAATTTATATTAGGTTAATTGCTAAGTGCTTCTACGTATATACAGAAAGGACCTGTTTGTTATTTTCATTAAAAAGGTAGCATGCTTATTAGTACAATATATGAAGTTTACACGGATTCTGTTGTGTTTGAACGCATAATAATAATAAGTCATTTATTGTTTTTGTAAACTAAATACATAGAGTATACAGCTCGTTGCGACTATTTTTATTTCATCTATTTAACCTATATCTCCATAGCAGCTTTTTGTTGCTAATTTAGTGTCCTAATACAGATAATGTTCTTACGCACTCACTGACGCGCATACTCAAATACACATTAAAGGCATTTGACTGACGGTACAAACATGACAAAAAATTAGACATTTACTAACATACAGTCGCATACGCACACATACATTAAGCACTCGAACAAACTGGATGATGTATGCGCACTTAATAACATAGCAGATTTATATCGTACTATGTATGCATATTTATATTTATGTAAATACATGAATATCGAGCGGTAGACATAATTACCTTTGCATATTGTATGTGTGTGTATGTACTTACACAATGCATACGTATATATTATTCATTTTTCTATTTTTATATTATTCTTAACACAACTCATAAAACGCGGGAAAACTCCTTCCACCTGATGATGAACCACATTGCTGTGTAATGTATTGCCATCATCCATAGTTCGTCACAGTCTACATGCTGTGGGCTATACACGGACAACATAACCATCCGTCTCTCCAACAATGGATAAACATAAAGTAGCACACGAGCCCGCTTATTTCTGCTAAAACTATATGTACATATATATAGATGTTCGGAATAAATTGAGACACATTTTGCAGACATACGTTCATACGTTACTCTTGGTACTATCAGAACCACGGTTCTTGCTAGAACAAGACCTTGCAGGCGTAAAGGCGGACCTAACAGATCAGTCTTCAAAATGCAAGCAGAGGTCACTTACTGCTCATTCCTTGCGCCTGACGAACCTCCACCAATGTTATCAACTTTCTACGCCATTTGAAGTCAAACGTTGTTGTGTTCACTGAAGGACACATCGTAGTGCGCATCGTGCTTTTTTTTAGGCGTATTCATTACCAAATAAATTTACCTTAAAATTCTGAGAAACATTACGCCGTGGATGGCTACTGCGACGAATGGAAGACCCAAGTTATGCACCCACTCATACGAACAAATAGTATCGGGCTGACCGGCCGGCATGTTCTTGAACAAGGGCTTTCTTGAAGCCTGGATTTAAACAAATATCGACAGTCTAACCAATATCCACATGGCAATGTCAACCCCTTCACTGTCAGCATTAAGCAGGGATTCGAAAATATAGAGAGGAATGTTGTGATACATGCTAGTGAACGCTTTAGGCCTCTAATGAAAAAAACTGGCAGTTACATTGAACATATACGTCCGTCATGAATGTTGCTGTCAGTGCATGCAAAAGGTATCATCTAAATATTTGTTTCCATTCAGATACAGTTTATAAAAAAGCGACATAAGTAGTGTCCAAATTTCTGCCGAACACATATATATATATCAATAGTAACTACACAAAATGATATTCTCCATAGTGTCTCTAGCAAACTTGAACATGATATCTCGTCCTCTCTTCGTCGATTTGTTTTGCACTCGATCCATGTTATTTATCTCACCAAACTCACACGTAACACAACACAACTACCTATGCTCCTATAGACAGAGCTGGGGAAGAGCCGGCTCCTGGTCACATAGCGCTTACAACAAGTCGCACTCAAACTATGTATACTCCTCTTTCCTCGACATTCTTAGACACACACATACTGCGTCATCGACGTATCGCAATACCACGCCATGCAATGCGTTAACGGAGAGATTATTATTATTGCTATTCAATACCAGATGAGAGGTGTTTATATTTCTCAGTCTACAATTATCGTATAATTACCATATATAGATATAATTTGTATAGCTGTACACAAATAGCTTTTTCGTCATTAAATGAACGATGAAGATCCGTATCACTTGTTAGCTTTCCCACATTGTTAGCGGATTAAACCGCGTTCTTGTTTTCATACCAAACTTTCGGGTTTCCTTTCAACGTTTCGGGTTTTCTCCTGCCGTAACCAAAGGGGGCATATGTTGATAAGCAGAAATACAGAAATTTTACAATGAGGCAATTTAACATTGCAGAATGGCCTGAAAAGAGTTATAAAGTATTATAAAGCTTGGTACAACCTTTGATCTTGCCCTTCCAGCTTTTTATCTAGAAAAGATGCATGGCCTAGAGTACAACGCTCTGTTCTTTTTGAACTAGGGATGTTTTTTTACTAATTTCACAGAAATGACGAGAGGTGATTCTTCGATCCGATATTTGAACAAATTGGGCAGCTAGGACGATAAGGGACGACTGTTCCTTCTTTTGGAACTGCCTCTTCTTGCTAAGGAGCCAATCTCCCACTACCAGACTACTGAGAAAACTGAGTCGTTTTTAATTAATCACGTGTTTCGCAACCACGCCCTGCGTGAAGTCGGCGATTATTCTACCATTCGAAAGTGGACGAACAAAGCAACATCCACTGACGTGTTGCGAACGAACTGTGTTGGTTTAAAGTTTGCCTATGTCATTAGTTTCAACATTTTCGCACTGTACAGTTATTATTGAGACGGGAGTTAACATAAAGGGTGCGTGAGGCCACAGACCCTATTTGTTATTTCGGTTAGCGCAGCTCAGCATATTACACTACTTCCTTGCAAGAATACTTTCGCCACCACTATTACTAAGTCGCTCGACAAGCAATTCGCGAACGGCAGTTTGTCGGTTTCATCAAAGCGTTAGCTGGTAGTTCATTTTCGGGGAGAATCCTCGAGCTACGACGGCTCATAACACCAATGTCCTTCATAACGTTGTGTTCCCTTAAAAGTTTCTTTGCTGTAACTGGTGGATTAATCAATGTACACTTAGCTCGGTTGCCCGATGCAATCGAAGTCATTCATGTTCGTTATTGCATTAACAATATACAGTATAGCTCAGTTTTCCTGAATAGGTCATGTTACAATTGTCTTGGGAAAAATCACTATATTAGTATCAAGCCGAAAGAAATGGTAAAAGGTATATTGATTCCCCTGGAAGATCCCGTTAACAGTCAATCAATGATAATTTTATTACGGTGTGAATTGGCAATGATAGTAAATATGAAGTTCTGTCGGTGCTAGTCTTTTTAGGTTGTAGAAAAAAGGCGGATGATACCTTTCTTTCTTCGCTTTCTTATTCATCGATTCGTTCCTGACCCGGGTTTGACCATCTATTAATCTTCCACTCGCGCTCGTAATTCGATGACTTAATTGCCCAAGAAGTCTTTTACTTATTATTAATTTGCGTATACTTCGTGTGATCAGGTAATAAACTGATTGATAGATGGTACCCAACAGTATGTTGGTATTATATCGTTGATGATTACAAGAGTTGGCTTCATATGGTGACCGAAGTTAGTTGACGTCTCTATCTTTTGGAGGTCTGCTGAGATCGTTCACATGTTTTGATATGAACTGGCCAATGAGAACTTTGACAGGCCTGCGAGCAGTACGACGTATTCCAACAGCATGTCATCGTTGCCAAGCCCTAAAAAACAAGACAGGATAAAATCAACTAATGATAGAAATAGCTGGCTCATTCTACCACTGTACATTAGTATAAGAAACTACACAGCGCCTTCATTTTTTTTTTTTAATAAAACAGCAAAGCAGAAGTTATATTTACGAAGAGTTAAACGATTCTAATCACCTTGCAAACGCAGCACCACTGTTTTGATTTGACAACGTCCGTCATCCGGGTGGCCGATGCCTGCCAAAGGGCTTTATGCGCCGCCAATTCTTTTAACTTTAGTTTGTCCTTGAGCAGAGACATTTCACGAGCTACCAGCTCCTAGACATACGTTAGTGAAAAAAAATTCGTTTCTTCGTAACATATGGAAGGCATTCGAAGCTTTTGAGATTATTCTTTCGCTTCTCATATTTTCAGTAATTGTTACAATAGACACATAGATCGATCGATAATTAGTGATTCTGTCCTGCCGTATCGTTAGCACATTTAAACTAAAATTATTATAGAAAAAGTAAATCATAACGACTCACCTGATTTAGTCGCTTATCATCTGGATGCACACGCGGTGCGTTCCAGTAATGCAAGGCCCAATCGTCACTGGTCCAATTTAGGCTATGGGCTGGTATATCCCCGGTTTGTGTCTCGCGATGCGTGAAACACTGACTCGACGCCAGAGATAACAGGGCAGCTTCATCGGTTGGTGGGGCCGTGCTCTCCTTTCGAGGCGACGGTAGCTGGAGTGCCTATATGAAAGGAGTTCATCGAGCACAAGAGCACGAATGTACGATGTAATCGGCGCGTCAAACTGTCCAAAGTAGTATGGCTTTGAACACTTGAAGTCTTAACAACCAGCAATAATGATATCCGTGGCAAAATTAATTCAACGCAAGGTATCTATGATTATGCCTTCTTTACTTCTATTTTCTATAAACTTGTTTTCGTTCGTTAACATGAAAGATAATGGAAATAATACAAACACGTATGTAAGACTCGCATCAAGTTGCGACGAGATCTTTGTCGGTCTTACCTTTTGCTGATACGGCATGAGTTCGGTATCGGAAACGTCCGTTTCTGATTCATCATAATCATGGCCCTCTTCTTCCTCCTGATCTTCATCTTCCGGATGAGTTCCAATAACTCCGCCGCCAGCTGCAATCGGTTGCAGTTGACTGAGGTGCCCGGTTACGCCCACCTTCTCTTTACACTCCTCGATCGTTTGTCGAAGCTTCTCAAAAAAGGTATCCCCGCTTGCAACCTAGTCCATAGTAACGAAAGTTGAGCGTCATTTGTAGTAAAACAAAAACGATGTCAAAACAATCAATTCGACAATTGGTTCAGATGCCTAGCTTAGTGTAATATCGCCAGGCGCACTTAGCAAAATTTGCTGATCGATATTTCGTAACTCTCGAGAAGCAAGCGCCTTTTTGAGCTTCGTCACTTTCAACAATATAATAGCTGGATGATGATAGATATTCACTTAATAAACTATTTACTAACTTTTGGTATGACGGTGGTAGTGGCCGTTAGGGTACTCTGATTATTGGTGTTGGCCAGGTGTGTTGCTTGGGGGGGATCTGTATCAGCTGTCGTGCTCGATACTTCGGCGCAGCAGTTGGTCCTTTCTGGCGATTTAGGTGTGTCTTCAACAGCCAAGAGACCAGTTACTCCCAAGCCCAACACTCCCCCAGCTAGAACGCCTTTAGCACAAGAGAAAGTATATAACCTTATCAGAGATGTAACAAGCACGCTCATTGGTATCAGTAGAATTTTCAATAGGCTTCAACGTATAGGAAATACAATTGAAAGTTTCTACTTGGCTTCAGAAGAATAAGATTTCATCGACACTTTTTGTGTGCATCTGGGACCCATGAGATAACACTCCGTAAGAGTATTCGAACGAAAGCATACCTGGAGTCTTTACCGCTTTCATTCGGCTGTTAATTACGTTCGTGTTAGATGTAACTCCGTTTAGATTTTATATTGCCGAAACTTTACGAATTAAGCCTAAACTATTCCTTGAAAAGTGTACCTGCTTTTAGTTAGGAATAGATAATATTTTTCTATATTTTGGTTTTAGTTTTACCTTTGTTGGCTCCAAAGTGGCTGGAACCGCCAGCCCCGGCGTCAGCCCTCGTCCCTTTTCCTTGCTGGTGTTGTTGCTGTCCTGTTGCAGCAGCTGCCGCCGCGGCAGCGCCTGCTAACCCTATAGCGGCGGCTGCTGCAAGAAGGCTGGCATCCTCAACACCACCAACGAGACCTGCCACTAAAGGAGCAGCGGAAGGCGGCGGCGACGCCGGGCTCTCCAAATCCTCGAGATCCTGTTGCTCTGCAACGCCTGTTCTTGTGCCTCGCACCTATTCATATTAATAAGAAAGAAAGAGGCAAAACAATTATATCACAAATGAGTTAGGCTTCAGCGCATATTTGACGATGCGCAAGTCTTGACGATATGATACTTACCCTAGTCCTAGATCGTTGCCTTTCATTTGTCGCATTCAGATCACCGCTGTTCACGTTTGTTTTATAGCTATTGCTATTCATGTGTGCCCTTGATGATTCCCGTCTTGACGATGAACCGCTTGCGTTCATCAAGGCTGATCGACCACCGTCTTTCTCTCGGTCTATGTGCTCCTTCGCTACCGAACCACTACCATTGCTACTTCCGCTGCTATTGCTACTAGTGCTGCCTTCTTTCTCCTCCTAAAACAACAAACAGAATAATGTTGGCATTATTTCAGTGCTAAAACATAACCTGCAACATGTGTTTTCTTATACTCATTGAAAAGGTTAAAACAGAGTTAAGTATATATATATGTACAGGATGCAACATCTAAATTCTGGCTTGTGAATCTGGAGTTACTTTTAAGATTGTAGCTAAACAACAAAACATTCAGTTAAATACTTTACATATGCCAAAAGATCGTTACCAATAGCCATGTTTACCGCCATCGCTCACCGCGATGACGTCTTCGATTCGGGATTAAAACAGCTCACTATTCCATTTTTATTTTTTATATTTTTTTAGAACTAACTTTGGGGTTAGTTGCAGGCAATAAAACCTAAAAATTTAAAAGTTCAAAACAACCAAAAGGTTGAAAAGACGTGGAAGGCCTCTGGTCGTTGAACTCCCCAAGGCGATTTCGACTCTCTATATCTCTAAAGACTAATTATTCAGTCTAGATAAGTAACAATCGATATATTACTCTCCCAAATGACCGTCATTTTTTTATATATTTTACAAAAATGGCTTTTTAATCAATTCTCAAAAAGTTTCGAGAAAATATTAATTAAGGGCCGAAAGATTATCAGCAGAGTTAAGGTTTTTAAATCTATACTCTATAGACGACTTTCCATTTGCCTCTTTTTCAGATTTCTCAGATGCGGTATGAAGAATGGCCGATTTCAGTCGAAAAAGTAAGTTTTTTTCGACCTTGATGGAAGTTTGTCCAGCGCGAAAAAAACGTTTACTTGCTAAAGTTGAGATAAAAAAAACACTGTTTTATATCATGGTGAGTGTGTTAGTTCGTTCTAGAGAAAACTGGCTGTTTTTTTGGTACCATGTGGACGCCTTCCCGCCACAAAAAATAGCCCGTTAAGATCTGCCCGAATTTAAATGACGCACCCCGTTAAATATATACTGCGTATATAGGGTTGCCTTACCTTTACGCTGCAATTATATTGATCGCTTTTGAGTTGCTGTTGATCCTTAGCAGCTTTTATCGGCTTCGCCTCACGCTGGGGTTTTTCATGACTATCCTCAGCCGCTGACTGGGATTTTCGTTCATTTTTGGCGCTGTTGCCGCTTCCGCTGTTGTTAGAATGACTGTTACTGCTGCTTCTATTACTGTTGTTGCTGTTGTTACTACTGTTGTCGGAACTGCTTTGATGACGTCCCAAATTTTGGGCGATCACTGCTGTTGCTTGCATCTGCTGCAGTTGAATATCAGGATGAAGATCGGACTTAAAATCTTTATCTGGTATTCGTAGCGTTATCCCATTAGGATTGTTACTTTCGGTATTGTTGTTGTCGTTAAGATTGTTGTTGATACCCTTGTCTGCTTTGTTGGTATCCTTCGACGCTGAACTGTTGGTAGCGTAACTGATATTATTAACGCCATTGCTGTTGTTGCTACTGCTGTTTGCAGCTGTTGCAATAGCTTCGGTAGCAGCAGCTGCAGTAGCTGAAATAATTTCTTTTCCATTTCCGTTATCTTCCTTGTCATCATCGGTCGAATCGGATTTCTTATCGAGGTTCAACTTACGCTTAATGCTTTCCAGAATTGAATTCTGCTCTTCAGACTGAAGTTGAAAAATCAGAAAATAAGCAAAACGTAATGAGCATATTAATCACTGACTCTTTTTGCAAGTTGAAATTTCAACCGGATCGAACAGAAATGTTACAGGGCAGCGTGGGCACGAAGTCGAAAGCTAGTTTTTTCGCAACTTATAAAAAAACAAGATGAACTTACAATATTTTGAATACAATTATTGTATGAACCATGCATCTCACTTCCGAGTAATGTATATATTCGCAAAAATTGTTACATAGACTAATTCTACCATACTCCAGAATGCAATAGCAATACTTCTGTTATAGATTCTACACTATATATATTATAAAATGTTAGCGTTGATTACTCACCCCACTGTCTTTATCATCATCGTCGTTGTCCGCTAGCAGCGGAACTTGGGAAATAATGACGCTCTTGATCCTTCGCTCTTCTTCATCTTCGTCATCCTCGCGCTCATCGACGTCCATTGGCAGCGGTTCTACCGACGTCGGCATGTTATTTGCTTTTACAATGGCCGCGGCTATGCACTTTTGCGAAGATGGGTAGTTTATGTCTTTAGCGCCGCCCGTCGCAGCAACAGTTTCCTCTGAATTCCTTAATTTCACTACTGCATTAATAGCTTCCGTCGGGACGGCTTCTGCGGGATGAGTAGGCACCGCATGAGTAAGAGCTGTGGTCTCGAGTCTATATCCAACAGCACTGGAAGCTTCAAGCGCCTTTCTTTCGAGTTCGTTTTCTTTGGCAGAAGCTTCTTGGGATCCGAGGGCGACAGTTAATGGCTGACTTCCATTAGGTGGGGCACTCATGCGTTGGTTGTAGATTTCAGTCGTCAATTTGATTTGATCCGTCTCATAACGGAAGTCGACACCAAATCGCTCGCGATATCTTCGAGAGTAAATTGACCATCAAATACAATCAGTTATTTAACTCAGCAGAAGACCAAAAGACTTTTAATGTTTTTCTACTACATAACTCAGGCTGCACTAGTGTAGTGTCCTTCGGCACCTGCTGACCTCATTTTAAGTGCCTAAATACATTTGGTGTGAGTACCCCATTGAATACCTTTCTCAATACGCGGTATAGTACTCGGTTAAGTCGTTATGAAACCCTTCGTCACTTATGGCTGTAAGAACGCATCAACAACCACAGGTTAACGAACTTAACGGCCTACTGAAACGTTCTCTTTTACTTGCGACTTTTCGGGCTTCCAGCTCTCGGTGTCGCAAAACATTGTATTAAAAAGTTCACCTGTTAATTAACCTTGACCTATACATAATATATACGTAAATGCTCACTTCCGAACATAGGTAGCCATTTCGTCCATCGCTGTGCTGTAAGAGCCTTTTTTGCTTTTCTGATTTACAGGTGGTTTTTGGGTGAGGATCGTGCAGTTGCCGAGTGTCACGAGACTTTTGTTATGATCGCCGAAAAACTTGACCGTCACCTGGTCGCCCTCCACTCGCATCACCTTTAAACAAAACAATAGCAGAAACGTCCGGTTTTATTGCGCTTCCTTGTTTTTCTTTAAGTAAAAAAGCACACTGACGAACATTGGCACATCAATGTTTTTCAACAAACGCATAGCTGATTCTTATCCGTGAGTGTATGTCAGTGTATTTCATGCAAAAATTGAAACCTATCTCGTGGTACTAACCTTGGCAGGCCAATGTGGAAATCCTCGAATTTTGGCCCACACAATGATATGCGGAGGGGAGCAGACCTCAGAGAAGAAATTTCCATTACTGCTACTTAGAGCTGATGTTGACGATAGAATACACAGACACAAGAAGCACAAAACTCATTTAGCGAAGACGTCACTAGAAATTAGGGGCTAAGAGGTCTTCCTTAACGTTCATGAACAAATAAATCTTTATCGTTATGTTTTTCTATGTACTTTGCCCACGAAGTTCAAAGTATTTTGAATATGATGAAAACAGGTACAGGCCTACCTGTACCAGAGGCCGGCGAAGCGGACTGGCTTTGAGATGCGGTAGCTCTTCGCATATGCAAGTAGCACTGAGGGCATAGCGACATTTCACCGACCTCTTTGTCAGCGGCTTTCAGCATTGCTACAGCCGAAGAACTGATCCGATTCTGTGGACCATTGTAGACAACGGAGTTATGATGAATCCATTTGAGGTCCGAAACGAACTCCTCAACGCATGAATACCTGAACCAGAATCAACGTTAAATAGTACTCAGTGAAGTCAATCGTGTTGCTTTTTCTCCTCGCACATTTTGCTTAAACGAAGAGATAGATAAAGTGAAAAATGCCTGAAGCGTGTTCTCGAAATAAAAACTTGACTAACCTTTGTTTGGTGACGAGTTGTTCAAGTTGTTGGAGATCAAAAGGTTTGACCACAAAATCTTTGTAATCCGGGTATTCCTCAAGTGACACGGGAGCGTGGAAAACCTCGAGCGCGTAGGGACGTATCGAGCGAACAGCTACCAGCAAAAGTTCGGACAACTTCAAAAAGGTGCAAAGAGACAGCCAATAATTAGAGCGCAGAAAAAGATGAAAATAAGCAACTCTTATAATTATAAGGAGTTAGATAGACTTTAACAGGAGCACTGGCGTTTTAGTGGTTAGTAACAAATTAGCGTTACTGCTATATCATCTCACCTGTTGCTTGTCGAGCTTATCGAGAGATCCTCTTGGTTGCTTTCCTTCGCGCCGACCACGTTCAACTAGGATCACACTTAAGCACTCCGCGCAAACGAAATTGTGTAGGTCTTGTTGTTCATCATCCAGTTGGTCGGTTGCCTATGGTGAATTATCGTTCAAAGAGACGTAGAAGCTCAATGAGTAACTTGAATAATAACCATCGTCATCAATCATTTCATGCTTAATAAGCAATGTAGAATAATCTTATTTTTATAAACAAAGATTGCTTGCAGGTAAGACAGGAAAACTAGAGAATTACGGAAGTATGCTAACGAGGAGTAAACGCAAATGAGAATGCGTCAGGACACTGACAATGCACGAACTGCTATACCGTGAGGCGCTAACAAAAATGATCCCCTCATATTAACATAAAAATTTACTCAGTTGCAGAGCTGACTCAGGACCTCCATAATACGCAAGCCAAACAAGGAAATAAAAAAACATCGTGAAATCAAATGAAGCCCGAATATATTATATATAATATACATGTGTACATTATAATATGTCAGTTTCTATTTACTAATCCATAGCCATGCAATGTAACTGTTAAAGAAAAGGAGAAAATCACGAAGTTATAATCCTGCAATTTACACTCTGAACAAATTTTTTTATTGACATAGATGAACAAAAGTACTAAATATTTCGGCGTACCGCAAAGCATTCGATCAGAGGGCTGGCGTCCAACATGAAACGAAATGTATCTACGCTCGGGTTCGAACCTACCTTATCACATGGTTCGAACATTATAAAGCAAATCTGTTAGCTACTGAACTATCACAGGAACATCAACGACAGTAGTATAACTATTCAACTACTTACTTCATTGTTTCTGTTGGATTTTGCACTTGCAGCGGTGACCCCAGCTGATGTTGTTAGTGTCATTGGATGATTGCTGCTGCCAATAACGATCGGTCGTTCCCCTGCTTTGGATTGACTATTTACTTGTTGCAATTCGTGCTGCTGGTGACTCGGGGGAGGTACGCAATATTCGTGAAATGACCTCTGGCACGCTGTGCAAGGTACGTTCGCATCCTCCCCGTGGCATTTCCAACAGAACCTATTTGACACAAAGAAACGGTTTAGTTCTTATTATGAAGAGTGATAATAAGTGGCTCTAAAAGTCTATTCGATGAATACACCAAGGTTATCTGAACCGAGGAAAAAATATCAAAAATGTAATACAATATTAATATTACTACGTCATTTATCTCATTCTATGGAGCTGAGGTCGGAGACAAAATGAGACAGTTTATTTTTAGAGGGTCAAAACTGATATTTTCGACCTTGGCCTATGTTTCGACTTTTTTTTCGTTTTATTCTTTCTCCTAAAATAGGGAAAGGCCGAACTCTGTACGAAGGAACATGTTATGGTCAGTGTTATAAAACTGAACGAAGAGCTGCTTACTTACCGGTCATTACTCTCGGGCATTTCAATAGTGACCGACAGCCGAGGCCGTTTCGCTTTGGGCGGCGACTTCTTTTCAGGCGACGAGGAAGAGTTCGACGCGCGCTCAATGGTTGTAGCTCCTGAAGAAGGCATTGTACTCAAGCTTATCACCTTTTGTAGGTCCAGGAACTACAGAACAAAGCATAAACAACAACGAGCTTTATTAATGTACTATTTTGTCTTATATATCCAAGCGTCAGGTAAAGATTCTGATTACTCACAAGAAGTAGTATCCGTTTATCGTCTAGTAGCTTGTCGCTGCCGTGACATACACACACGACATGTGCACATTAGACAGTTCTGAAACACCAAAAATAGAATAGCTTTTCTAGCTGCTTCAATTGTTGCCCTTCATTAATAATTGAATCATAGTGCATTTCTCTTTTTTACACAAATCCACAGCAAATTGCAGAAATTACATTACTCCAATTACGTATGGATGTACTGTTTATCCGTTGCTGTTTTGGCCTGCGATCTCCTTCTGCTGGTGCTGCCGCTCATCAATGATGAGGTAGATATCCCCAACGCTTGTGACCGTCACGTGGCAATGACAAAATAATGTACCGAATTGGCATACGAAATGTGGTCCTTACGACTAAATGTTCGTAAACAAACGCATAGAACTTTTTCGGAGCATATGTCATTCATGACTATTTACTATCATTTAAACGTATTAAGTATCGAATTACTTTAAGCAATGCTGGCCATTTTACAATTTTGGATAGACAATAAAAACAACTATTAAAATCTTCAGCATTCAATCTATCATGCTATCTCGTTTATTAGAACTTTCAAAATATGGCAACGTCAGTAAGTTATAAAAAATATATAATTAATCAGTTTTAATATTTACGACCTTGTGCGATATCAGGTCTGCACACAGCGTTCAGAAGACCACGCAATGCAAAAAATTAATCGAAAGTTGACCGTAAGCAAAGGGATGTACCCTTCCCTAAAATATAGTTCCTTTTTCTTTTCTGTAAATATATATTTAAATAGTATTTGAGTGTTTTTCACAGCGAGCGCCGAACTTGAAGGCTTGACCAAGCCTCGACGTCCTTTGAGTTATATTTTTATCGGAGTCTTCCTTCCTCTATTGTGTTTCCAAATACGCGGTACTTTGCGTTAATATGTATTATAAATACAAAAGAAAGTATTATAAAAAGAAAAAGAAACAAGAGAAAATTACATCGAAGACCACCTTGAAAATTATCAATATTTTAATTTTTTTTTTAATTATTTCCCACAGGATTCGAGCAGCTTGTGCACTGTATGGTATTTTGACTACATGACGAGTTAGCAGAAAGAATAAATGATAAGAACATTAATACTAAATCCGTTTCAATCTGTATGGTGAGGAAAAGAGGGAAGAAAGTGATTAATGCTAAGCCGTTTACTCATTTTATCATCCTCCTAAAATTAAGGAATTCGCAACATGAAGAATTTTAAACTCAGAGGGCTTCGACGAGACGAGTAGTCATTCGATAACAATAACTTTCCATGTATGAGGCGCAGAAGACAATCAAATTAATATGCTAAAATAGGTTTGTGGTCGATCCCAACAGAGCTAACCATGTCAATGTGATGCACTCCCGCATCGCGTTTCTTCATGAGTTTAGAGCATCTTCATTTGTCAGAACGTGGAGTTAAAGACACTCTCACCTCAATCCCACACAACTGCGAGGGATGCTAGATATGAGGTAATCCATTTTAATGGTGCAATATTTTCTTTGGAATTAATATCTTTTTTATATCCGGACTAATTTATTATCGTAGTAGGTCGCACGTGTTTTTTCTTCAGTACCACGGAACTAAACCACATTTCTCATGGCATGTACAGCCAATTAACTTGTGATAGCGTCGATCATGATGATGGCGCTGGTCGTGCTGATGACCATCATGGTCGTGCCGTGGACGTCGAATATGTAGCATCAGCAGCAGACTAACTGATTGCTTCATTGGCTAATTGCTTGGTGACTGCATAAACTGGTTTTTTCGAACAATGACCACTGGATATGAGCGTATCTATAGACTTACCATAAGCATACGAATATTATTGAATAACTGACCTTGTTAAGCGCATACCATTTTCAATGAGAGTCCAACAAAACAAAGGAACCGAAGCAAGTTAGTGAAAAATGCAAATTGAATAGAAATCAAAGAAAAAACATGTTTGATCGTGACGATTTAAGTACAGCTTTTCAAATAAGTTTGCTATCTTTCTTCGGCTAGCAGACCATTTTAGAAATTTTAAGTGACGGGACGATATCTCTAAAGGAACCTTACATCACGATCTACCGACACTAGCCAGTTATATCCAAAAATGTGGACGCCCGCTTTAGTCTTCCAGCTATGGAGTTCTTCATAGAACATGATTTCCCTTCCTCAAGTACAACATAGCTGTAAAACATTGTGGATATTATTCCGGCTTTTTTGATTCATCTCGATATTAGTTATTTTTTTAACTAAAAACAAGGCTCTGTTACTTAATAGTGGACTTGGCAAGATTTTCGCAGCATTGTACCTACGGGACGAATTTGTAAAAACCAGTTTTTTAATATTATTAACTAGTGCTATTGGTGTACAATCGGTTTAGCGCCATGTATTCCTAGCAATTATAATGTAGAAAAATATATCTATTTCACAGAGTCAGCATATACACATGCGTTTCTGCTTCTTAGTTTCTACATTCTTCTCCGTATTATTCGACACATTCTAATCTTTATGTTATTATTGTATATTATAAGCTGACGCCATACGGCAATCAGAGTACTTGTGGCTACCAATCAATATTCTATAGCTTACCTTCTAAGCCGCTGTTTAATTAGCTTCGAGTCGGGAATGGACTGCTCCCAGTTGGTATCCTATGGCCAAATTCACACACTGGGTTTAGTCCTCTATTTCTGACGTCTATGTATCTTTCTGTCAGGAGCTCCAAGGTTACTTCGTCCTTGTTTTTGACCACTTAACACCTCCGCCAATTCATCATTTGCACTACCTCCATCACCATCGTCGACTTCATTGTTAACTCTGTCATCATGGTGACCGTAATCGATAGTTTCAGATTATACCAAGCACTCTTCTTTTATCTGAAGGCAATGCCAATATTTCAGAATTTGTCCTGTCTTCGTAGCTGCTGTCGTGCTGTTTGCGTAGCATCTGTACTCTTCGATCAAGTTTCGTAAAATAGTATTAGCTCTATGGCAAAAATGTTCTTGCTTATTGTGTTATTACGGTAAACTTTACTCGTAGCTGTCGTTGTTCTTGTGTTGAGGTAGAATTGCTGCTAATCATGTTGTAACGGCAGCTGCAGTTTTGTTATTTTTGAACAGAAAATGGGCAATCCGCCCGCGAGTTGAATCGCATAAGCTGATAGTGGTAGGCCATCAAGCTGGGCTCAAGAGGACTGGATGGCTCCTCCGGCTTGTGAAGGCAAACGTCGAAAAAAAAAGAGTCACTGCTGGAAGCGGGAAATGAGACGATGGACCCACGGTAACGTTCGAGTTCACCAGCGATACGACAGCTACCAACGAGAACGACCCACAGCAACGACGACACCTTAAACCTTGTCAGTTGCCTGAACTAGTCGTCTAAAAGGCCAGGCAGACACCAACAGGCAGCGGTAGCCGTTCTACCGCGACAACACAGATGTCTGTCTGTGTGTATGTGTATGTATATACACCTCCTGAATTTGTCTTGCTGTCTCCCTATCTGTCTATCTGTATCTATACAATGAGCCTGTATATGGTGAGCGACTTGCCTTAGCTGCGCGTGTGTGGGTATGGCTGAGTCCAACCCTGTGCGTATGGCCGCAGCAGTGATGGCTCACGACAATGGGAGCGCTTTCCATTCAGCGGCCGCTCTACACAGGCACACCTCGGGCATATATATAATATATGTAGGAAGCACGCTTGCATCAGCGAGACATAAAATGACAATTACTGTTCTTGCCTGCTTACCACAAACAACAATAATGGATAATAACAATAACTGTAACAATGGTATTATAGTAAAACGCTCACTGGCAGTAAGTTGCAACCACAGTACTCTTCATACTGGTCCACGATAGTTCGCAGCTTCTGCCTGGTAGTGCTATTAGCTATGGACATGAATAATCCCCTACTTACATCCTTCGCTGTATCGTTCCCTCATCCACTTTTCCGCAGATAATCCGCATATTGTTTGTATTTCCCTTAATGATCGGTTGCCCCTATGATAGTTACAGTGTTCTTTTTTTCCACCTGGATCTTAGTAGAATGGGTCTGTTTTTCCTCTCTAGAGCTTTATTGTGGCCTGTCGGCCATTCGAACGCCCGCGGAAGAGATCGCACACTGAAATCAGTTAAGTACAAGGCTAACATCAACAGTTCGATTGGTATTCCTTTTCGGGAGACCGCTGTGCAGTTCCATTTCATTAATACGCGGTAGTTACGAGCCCAGTAAAGCCGCACCTCGTTACACTGATTCTTATGATGATGATGATTATTATTATTTGTCTTCTTGTTATTATTACTACTGCTGGTAGTCGTAGTTCCACTGAGTTACTGCTTTTAGTGCCTCTTGGTCGGTTCACCAGCAGCGATTAGTGCTATTGCAACCGCTAACACTCTAGCCTGGCACGGCCGCAGCATAGCCAGTTACTACAGTTATCCAACACAGCCCCAGACGAGGTTGGATACCCCAGACACACTCATGCTGCTACTACTCCAGCAGCAGCAGCAGCCGCCGCCGCAGCATACATACGACAATACATGCGACGAACAAACCAACTAAGCACACTACAACAACAGCAACAGCAGCAGCAGTAGTACAAACAGCAACCAGCCACTCAGCATCAGCATTAGCGGGCGGGCGATAGGAGTTAAGCCACACCGCAGTACCCGATCAGCCGCCTCCGTAGCAGACAGGCAAGAATTCGTACACATAACCGCCCCTGTTACAGCACGACCAGCACACACAGCGAAACAACAGCAGCAGCAGCAATCGAACAGAGCAGACAGTTCGGCTCAGAGCAGAGTCAGGGCAGGAGAAGCTGCCTGAATGTCGTGTGGTTATAGGTTGGTCGCGTGCTTGTACAGCACCGCCACAGCTTTTATTACTTCTGCCGCTGCTGCTGTCCTCGCTTGTCGTTACAGAAGGAGCGCGGCCGCAGCAGTGTAAACGCAACTGTCGTAGCTCCCGAAAAAGGTCGCGGCAGCAACCGATGATAACAATGATCTTTCTACTACTGCTTCTTGTGCTCGTTCGTCCGTATGGGAAACGTTGACGGCAACAGTGGCGACGGCCCGAGCAGCAGCGGTAGCGGCAACGGAGCATGTGACAGCAGTTGTGTCGCGAAGACAACGGGAATGCTGCCGTTAAAATGGCGGTGTCATGAAAAGAGGGAAACGTATCACACATAACCTGATCGGTAAAACGACACGAACGTTTGTGCTTTATGTACGACTAAGTATGTAATGAAGTCCGGCCGCAGATAATGGAACACGGGCCTATTATTCTTAGTTTCAATAGCTTGTAATAATTCATCAACAAAGGATTATTTTATATATATATATATATATATATTAAAACAACAAAGTATGAGAATTGCGAAAAGGATAAGTCAGCTATAAATTAACTGCAGCTTCTCTATGATTCAAAAACCTTCCTTGTTCTTTTCGAAGGAAGAGTTTTCCTGTTAGGATAATTAGAATCAGGTGCTTCATCGCGTCCTATCGTAATACAATTTGAGGCCCTTATATTTTAAAATCGTGTACTGGATAAAGAGAGATAATCATGATTTTGTGCAATGTAGAAATTAAGCCTTTAGACACAGTACCGATAAGCAAGTGCAATTCGTTACAGTTCATTAAAGTGTCCTAAAAGCACCTGCCTGAAGGCGAGCCTTTTAAGTATTTCAAACTTGTTGGTTTACCACTTAAGAGGCAGCAGAAATAGTTGTGCAGTATTCCTCCTTCTACGGCAACGTTCGGTAGACGATGCTGTATACCCTAAACGTTTGTGTGATTATAGCGTATCCTAAAATGGTAATCAGCAACCCAGTTCAACTCGGATAGGAGATCGTCATTTTGAGCACCCTTGCCTGGCATAAAACGAATTGAACTTTAATTCAAGTAAATCTTTATCTGTTAGTGTGGAAAAGGTTCTACTATGTAGAAATGCATCAGATACGAAAGTCTCAACTTGTGAGATTATATATTATTATCATATAATTCATAAAAAATTATTCTGTAATATCGTTGTTATAGTGCACTTAATTATCTATAATCTGTAGTAGTTCTAACCATGAACCACGCACGCACATGAATATTGCGTATACTGTCAAATTGCTCTACGATTAACTTGAGATAAACATCCCCAGAAATTGTTTAAGCTAATAAAATATAATTCTATAATATAAAGCTAATAAAGATATAATTCCAGGGCGGCATTTTATTTTTCTTAGAAGCTGATCATATATTCCCACTTCTATCTTGGCAAAAAGTAAAAAGTCGGACCGAAAAGTTAGTGAGGATCAAAAAAACAATTGAAAAATGACAAAAAATGAAGGAAAAATATTTAAGATTTTATTCACATAGTGCATTAAATGAACAATTTGTTCAAATCATGTTAGTGCTAAAGTGAAATAAAACATGACTACCATTTTTAATCATTGAGCTTCGAAATGTTCAGTTGCAATAAAATTTACCGACAATAGGGCAAGGTAAGGGATCCTCATTTCTAATCTATTATTTGCAGAAATTTTCCCGGCCATTCAAAGGCAACTAATCGCCAGTGCAATTCGCGCGTTGTCTTAACCAAATGAGTTTTATTACTTGTTAAATAGCGGAACATGCCTCCTTTTCTATCTAACGGATTGAATCATAAACAACAACAAATGCGGCGGCGACTTGTCCGCTGCGCTGCGATAGTGTTTGCGGGAAGCTTCACCTATATCCATGTTTCCCTTGATCTTAATGAGTGGATATCTTTGATCCACTGTATACATTGTGCAAGCAATGACGTTGACACGTGTAGTGTCTGTGGAACGAGCAACGGCAGGACTTCTCCGTGCAAATTTTCCCTTTTGTTCGCTGATGGTCGGCATCGTTAGAAAAAATAATGGAGCAAACGGAACCTATCAGTTCGCAGCAGCTATACACAAAAGTGCAGTGTGTGCGCTGAAGAAAATAGTCCACCGGGAAGAAAACGGAGTGACTGTGATTGAGGGAACGTTCGTCGATTCGCCTCATAAGGAAAAACTATTACGGCCTGCTGCATCTGCAATCGTGAGCTACGTTTCCAGTATAGCATTTTGGTTGTCGTTTACCAACCAGCCACTTTTTATTATTCAAAATAACTCTCGTCGATGGCTTTCTCGAGAAAAAAACCGTCGTAACGCGCACGAAAATAACCCTTGAATTTTGTTCTAATAGCTAAATGGAGCCGGTAAAAATGCTGAATATCATACATGGTACATATCTGTACTTTAGTTAAAGCATTAATACTAATAATGAGCAGATATCTTTAATGGCGAGTATAATTAAAATTCATACTTACTAATTAATTCTACTTCCGATCTCATTTGGTTACCTATTTCTGAAAGGAGACCGAAACCCGTAGTTGCCCGCTGTGTTCTTTGGGAATCCATGACGTGAAGCACACAGATGTGCTTATCATCTCTCAGTTTATGGACCGAAAAGGAAATATCCTGCCCCAAAAGGTACATGCGAACTCTTTCATATCAATTTGCCCCACATGTACATATAAATGTATGCGATTTCTAAAATGATGGCAAAAACAGTTCCGGCTTGTACAACCTTGGGTTAAACGTCCAGTGTTCTACGTTTACCTTCATTTTCTAAAAGATGGATAAATCCAAGTTCTACCGTAATTTATTCGTTAGAGAGTAAGAGTAAACTAGTTTAAATTTTTATCTCACTGCAGTAATCCGTGATCCATTATTTAGAAAGACACAGCCACCTTGTCAAATTTTTATGGACGAATTAGGCAATCGGTAAGCTTTACCCCGCAAAAACCTAGTTAAAAAAAAAGTTATTTTGAGGCGTAATGCAAAGCATTAACGTCGACGCTTTACTCGAACGGCTCTAACTAACGAAAGAATTAAACGTATTAGGAGCGGTATAATTCTTTATAGCACCTGTCTGCTTTTCTTTTACAAGATTCCACAATCGCTATAGTGTACAACCAAAGCACATTTTTCAATGTATTTTCGATGGACTATTGTATCCGTAATGAGATAGCATAGCTTTTTGATCGTGTCATGGGTTCTTGGTTAAGACAATGCGATGACTTGCCTTGTAATGTTACTATGTAGGGTTTTCTGCTAAAAAGCGCTGAATTGTGTTGCTCTTCCGGGTACACGTGGCTTCCGATCACTTTGACAAGGGCAAAAGCGAACTGGACAATTGTAAATTTCCGTTTTTAAATAAAATTTACTACTGTGGAATTACTGCTGTCATTAATGCTGAGTGGGAGAGCAGTGCATGCATATATACATTATAATTTTTTTTAAATTTATATATAGAATATTAACGGGACAAAACTTAATTTTTTTTCCTTGAAATTGATTTTAGAATTTGAGATTGGACGTTTCGCAGCATTCATGCTAGTATTGTTACAATCGTTTGGCTTTATCAATTTTAGGTGACTGGCCTCTGCTTCCGACAGCATAAGTTGATCTCCCTAAGGCTATACGAAGCTCAACGGTGCGGATTAATACCAAGTGAAGTGCACAAACCCAACGAGAGGTATCTTATTATAAGCTTTACTGTATTAATTACATTTTAGAAAAGCAAAATAATTTCGTGTGAATATGAAATGTCTTTAGCGTATATTTTAAGGGCATATCATAAGTAGGTAATAGAAATAAATAGGTAACCTCTAATTTTTTAACTGCTGACAAACAAGTTTTATTTGATAATGATTTTTTTTGGTGGATTAAACACTACATCGCAGTCGTCATGGTTCAGATCATATCTAATTATATATACATATATATATACAAGTAAATAGAGAGGCTCTTCTGGTCAGACCCTATGCAACTATTAGTGAGACGCGGGAGACATAAGAAAAGGTGAAAGAATGCTTCTGAAAATGCACAGTATCGACGCTTGTAATATTGTGAAGAGTGGTGTAGATCAGACGTCAACGACGACGGATGCGCGTTCAATATCCGCAAAGACACTGGGTGAAAACTTGCGAACGTGACAAGTTAAGGGCGTCATCGTCGAGATATTGGTCATTGAAAAGTCGAATATATAGTGTTAGGTACACTAACCTGTAAACTGGTGCAAACGATTTCCGACAAGATGCTTATTTGTTTGTCTATCAGAATTGGCCAATAAAGACTCGCGCATATTTCTGACGTCTATTGTAATCTAATAATCTTTTATAAAATCCCTTTTTCATAAAAGGGATTATTTTATAAAAAAAGGGATAAAAAAAAAATTCATTTTATGGTTACCGGACCTTACCTCTAAGCCACGTTGGCTCGAGACCTTAGCCAGCGTTATCATAACAGCTGAGAGTCAGTAGTTTTTTTCAATGATTCCTCGGCTCCCATTGTGGAGTATGTACATAAATGGTTTTGTAACATCTTACGCATTCTATATATTGAAATGATGAAATTCATATCTGTGAGCCAATAAATATGTTTTACCAAGCTTATCTTTTCAATCTGAATGAAATTTCAGATGGCAAGAGCTAAATAACTACTTCGGCATTACCAAAACGAAAGTAGATTTTGGCAAGCCCAAAATTGACATCCGGGACTTTCTTAAGAAGCCGTCGAACAAGAAGGTTTGGGAATAATGTCCGCCTACGAATGAAGGTTCTACATAATTTTAGTATGTGTCATCGTTTGACATTAATCTTTAGTTTAGGTATTACAAATCCTTTTCAATAACAAATACAAATAAATAAATGTTGGGCTACATTCTACATTTGAATTCTATTGTTATCTTTATCTATTCCTGTGTCTACCGTGCGGCAATGAAACATGAAAGGGAGTGACTTATTTTTTTATTTTTCGCTACATTTATTAAATAATTAAAATTTAATTAAAAAATAATCTGTCCATACAGTCGTGGCTTTATATATCGAAATTACAGTTAGAGTACCACCAAAGCCGTCTTCAAACCAATATCAAAATAACGCATACAGTGCAATACCGCCAAATCATAACTACTTTTTTGGCAGGGTCATAGATCCTTGCTTGGTTATGCTTCTACACTGGTTGACGTTTAGCTAAAATTTCATCCTGATCAATGTATAATATACAAGTATTGAAAATAATTGCAGTTTTTTTTTCATTGCCTTTCTTCTCTAATGTATAGCTAGAAAGCTTCACAAAGCTGGTATAGCCACCTTATCCAGATTTTACATTGGGTCCAAACATGTTTATGGCGGCTAAGATACAAGTTAATTTGCGACATAGTTATGATATGGCTATAGAAACCTCAAACTGCTTGAACAACTTAAATTTTCAAGTTGTTCACTTACAACGAGAATATCATTAGGACTTCTTTAGGAAACTTAAAATTATCTAACAATTATCCTCCTTCTAGAATGGCCCAAGGCAATTATCGTCAAATTCGGAAAATCGCGAAGAACGCGTTCTTTAGGCCAAAGATGCTATTTTTGAACTCGCGGAGGCACTTTTGAAATCCTAACACGCCATACCTACACCATGAGAAAAGACGAGCAGGAAATGTTAAAGATGTTACCTGTAACGACCTGACATATGTTTAGAATCAAAACTCGAAAAAGAGAACTGCGTAATCCAAGCAAAAAAACGACAACAGTCTTCTGGCTTACAGAAAATCCTTCAATCATAAATGGAAAGTTAGCAAAGGGAACGATAACAAAAATGACTTTCGTAACAACTTAGAATTTTTAATGTTTAATTATAATAGTTGGCAGATTTAGTCGCTTTGTGCATTTTCACCATCAATTTAATTACACTATTATCGGTGACCTGTATAATATGCCCGAAGGCTCAAACAGGCGACTCGTTTTTAAGCCTCTAAATGCTAAAAAGGAAAACGAGTCAAGCAAATTAAACTAGAAAAATAGACGAAGCTTCAGGGTAGGCGAATGCTGGCGGTGGTTTTCAATTCGTTGCTGTTTCCCGGAAGCACAGTGAATAGAAAATGCTGAGGATGTGGAGTTAGTGGGGGCCATTGCGTCTGTGCTGAGCGCCTGTCGAAAAGCTTGCGCGTGCTGCCATGCGTTGTCTCCTTGACCTCCAGACAGCTCACATGTGAGCACCAAATTATAACCAGAGTCAGGTGGAAGGCTGAAGGTAACAGGATCTACAGTTTGTCCCGAAAAATGCATTTCAGTATGTATGGTTGAGTATACATATCCTATACCTATATAGGAAATACTGTGATCATTATATATATGTCTACTATAAGTACTGAAACTTCACCTCGGATATGCTTGTGTAGCAGGTTGAATCCGTTGTATTGTATAGCGTTTATTTATAAGGCAATTGTAACTCAAACTTGCGATCAAAGTGAACTTCTTTGCTTAAGCAAATGTGAGATACTATTGACACTATGGTTGCGAAGATTTGCAAAAACATTATATGCAAAGCATTTTAAGTAGACAAAAAATAGTACCGTATAAAATGACAGATTACATGAATTTAAAGTATCGACAAACCGTTTCCGCGTATGCAAAGGCTGTTATCTTCTCCGGTCGACAGGTTGACTGCCACTTCGCCGTTCTCGAATGTCTCTCGAATGAAAGTGACTTCGACTACACGGCATGCCCTGCTTAACTCGATCTTGTATTGCATTACACCTAGAGATGAGCCTGGACGTCTGTAACGATGCAATACGCCAGAGTCAAGCCCGGTGTAAGAATATCTTTGAAATATTTTATTATTAAATCTGAATACTGTTATTATTTGTGCTAATAAAAATAATCTCCAACTCCTGGATCTGCGCAATTGAATGGCGTACATGTACATATTCTAGATGCCTAGAAACTTTTCTGATTGTTTCTAAGCGTCTAGACATAAAAGTAGTAATGAAATACCGGTTGAGTTTCTGAATACCTCGATGGCTAAGCGTGGATTAAATTAATATATTTTTATATACTATATATTAAACTACCTTGCCAGATAAGCCATCTTCCAGTCTAACTCCTCCTTGCGAATGATATCGAGATGTGATTGCATCATCGACGCCCAGCCGTAAGTTTTCTCGACGACATCTCCGTCCTCTTCGATGACATAGATGTCACTGCAGAACACACAATGGGAGCCAACAGAAAGAAAAAAGAACGAAATAGGTAATTTTGTAAAAAATGTTCTATGCGAACAACTAAATAGCTCATAATGTACGTGCAGCAATTATACTAGACATTAAATGTGGTAGGTATCTAGACATCTGATATTTGCATGTTAAAAGCGGACAGCTAATAAGGAGGTCGATCCATATCAGATGAGTAAACACGAATGGTAAGAAAATACAGCAGATTTTTCGGCTCACCGGAAGAATTTCGTGTTTTGCACCTGTGTGCCTGTACATATCAACGAAAATATCACATGAACATAGCATAGATTTTAAAAAATTTCTGTCAGGATGACTATAGTTATTACTATTATAAGGTCTGACCTTGCCGAAGAGTAAGTTATTTCCATGGTTCTGACGTCAGGCCGTGAATTGCGAATGATTCGGGTATTATCTGTCTCTTTACGGCCTAAACGCCACGCTTCATCTCCAGAAATGCGGCCTTGTAATTCTGCTATTCCTCGAACCCTTGGACACCAAAACGGAACAGTTATGGCATGAAAAATAAGTATGCTAAAGATTGGTCTGACTGTCAAATTAGTTGCCTCTGCCCGGCTTCAAGCAACTCAAGACATCGCTATCTGTCTGAAACGAACGATAGACGAAGCGTTATCATCCAATTTACGACGCTTAGCAACATACCGCACAACAAAATCGCCATACCCTTAATTCTTAATATCTTTATTCCAATGTTGTCCAATCCTTTGTTTGACTATGGGATGCATTTTACTGATATTATCAAAGTATTTACGCATGAAAATGTACCTTCATGCAAACTTACTTCATACCACTAAAGCTAATACTTGAGGCCTAAGCACAATAGAATGCAGGGCCCGGAATTGCAGTCACACATACTTTGGTGGTGCGAGGAACTCCGTTAACTCCATAATTCTTCGCTTTTTTAACTTTTCCTTATGCACAGGGCTTAATGGTCGTTGGAAGGCCTCGTTTCGAATATCTTGATATCTGAAAAATGTTCCAATAACACTTTCAGTGCTTGTTACTTCACTGAGATCACTTGGTGCGGTGGTACAACCTAACGATACTAAGATCATACTATAAAAGATGAAAACAAGCTAAATTTTCTCGTACTGTTTCAGTCTAGTATGAGTGGTCAAAATAAGGTGCCAGCAAATAGTTGTCGGAGTTAACGACTTGCTGTAGGTCGAACATGCATGACTCGGATCCTTTTGACTGAATCAGTCAATTGTGACAACCATAACGAAAAAAACATTGCTATCTCCACATGGTTGGAAGTTTTTAGCCTTTCTGATAAATTTATAGAACAGAATATAATTACCGACAGTGTTTAATATCTAATTGATGTACGGAAGTCATATTGTGCCTCTTCGATTAGCTATACACATCGGCACAATCGAAGCAGAATCGTAACTTACTTGATAAGTATTGCTTCGGGTAGGCTTCGTCGTCTTGCAAGAGTTTCCTTGAAATTTGTCACGTACCGCCAAGTAACATCTACAGTTTCGAAAGACGTGAAAGCGAAGATATAGCTCAGCTGTTTACCTAAGGGTAGACAAAACAGAAGGCTCATCACACTGCACCAAAACATCAATATCAACTAAAGCATCAAACCATTTAATCGTTATACATGTTTTGAGGAAGATATTTAGCCACAAACATTGTCTCAAGGGCACCAAATAACGCACCCCATCCTTGTTCGTAAGTGAGTGGTGCATCACACGCTGCTTCACACGGATCACAGTGAACCCAACGGTTTTTTGCGTCTGACCAGACTTCTGTCCAGACGTGGTCTGTCACGTCCCATACGTACCTAAAAGAAAGTGCCGAGATCTGCAGTACTTCTGTGATAAGATAAATTTGCATTAAATATTTTCGAGGTATGCGACACGACTGTAACACTTCAGGCATAATAGAGTTTCATCTTAGGATAAGCGGTGCCTAAAGTTGAATGAATACTTTTTTTTTGTGTGTGAAATTTGCTTATAGAGCGTATTATAAAGTTGAATAAGTTGATGATATTCTACGATTTGCTTAATAACAGCCAAGACCTTGTGAAATTTCTGTATTAGAAAATTATTTTTTTAAGTCGCACAAAATAGGTACAGCATTGGATTTAGGGAAACCAAAATGTTGATTACTTAAAATGGTGATCTTAGCTTAGATGATTGAAAATTGGTAAAATATGAACCATCGCGGCATGTGTTTCATGTCCTTCAAGTGCATGATTACTTTTCTAGAATAGTTTTTTTCCCGATGGAGAAGCATAATGCTTGAAGAAATATTAAACCTTAAAAAATTAAGAAACCTTAAAAAATAGCTCATATTCTTTGAGATGAGTGTTTTCTTCAAATAAATAGATGTTTTCCCATATCTAATCATGTTAATTTGGGCAAGGCGATCTTTCTTGGCTGTTTTTTCATTGAAAACATGCAATGGATTTTATCGTTGGTTCATTTATTTTATAAATTTTTACTATGGAGAAGTAAAACTACACTTTTGACCGAAGCGGTTCACAACTGGTAAAATACGCTCCATACTCTTGTAACACGAATTATTCTCTTATTGACTAAACACTATTTTCAGAAATAATTGCTTTATTCCATTGGATGGCTGGGTAATGCTCATTAAGTTAACCGACGAAAAAATTATTTATGAAACGTTTCGGAAAATGGTCTATATTTTCCAAAAAGATTTGTCAAAAGAGATTTTCGGCAATCACCTCGCTTCATAGCCAAGAGCAAGACAAATCAGCGTGAAGGCGTTAGCCCATTCGCCACAACGACCTGAACGAGTTTCAAGAAGCTTCCGCGGGCAATTATACCTGTGAAAAGTAGAAACGCATGCACTTAAGCACCAGTAAAGATAGCCGCTCTGGACTGATTCCATATTCGCATATGGTCCAATATTTGTGACAATGTTTGCATATACTTAGTCAAGTAATCAACGGACATATTATTTAGTAGGCAGATAAAAGGCCAGATTGATAACTTTTGTAATTATTGCGTGTTTGTCGACGACTTAATTTTGTTTTATCTGATTCGGAAAATCTGTAAATACAAAAGGATATTATTCTATAAATTATTTGGATTATTACCTTGGAAATCGCAGTTCCCGTTTACATGCAGTGCATCTGTATAACTCGATCCGTCGTGCGAGCCCTTCTTTTTCTTCCGACGTCAAGCAGATATCGTCCGGAGAAACGATATGTTCAACCTTTGTTTTCTCACTACAGCTATCGCATTTGGGGTTATCGACCCAACTAAAAAACTCACGTTTGAACCACTGAACGATTTCTATCAGTAGAAGATCTCGTTCCAGCTCGGGGGGGGCATATTGTGTAGCTACGCGAGCCTAGAGCGAGCAAATGTATTAGGTTAGTGAATAATTAACGTTTGTTTTTGTGTGTCGCTTTCCGGTTTAACTTTTCGTTTGCTAAAAGTACATTGTTTAAAAAATGGTGGAACCTTTTCATTGCTCTATAATGCTGTTAACATTGTCTTGTTCAGGACATAAAATGTTATCTTGAGCTCGAGTAAGAAGTGGGTATTTCCTGTTAAACTGAATACATTAGTCCCAAGAGTTGTTTTAATTTCTATTATTTTCAATGCCAAGAAGTTCCAGCAGCTCCGTGCGTTTTTCCATACCTGCTGATTCTGATAGCTCGGTGAAAAACGAATGCAAATTATTACCCAAAATGTTTTTTGCCACCCGACATGACAATCTTTGAAGACGGAATTCAACATAAAGTTGTGATTTGACGAAAATTATGTGCAAAACCTTGCACCGTAAAGAAAGAGGTTTCTGGCGGTGAACATTGAAGAAGGAAACTAATAGACACCGACCTAATCTAATAGAAAATCAGAGTGTTACTTTCAGAAGAATACCGCATTGCCATATTTGTCTCACTGATTTTCAAAGCCAATTTTACAACGCATCAAGCTGTAGCAACATGCCCAGCTTTGTAAAGTGCTTTTGGCATAAATTTCTGCATTATTGATGGCAATATTAAGACAATGTTTTAATGAGAACCTGTCTCGTATGTCGGTCATAGTCCAGGTAACCTAATTACCTAAATATAAGTTAGTGCAGATAGCAAAACGACGATCTTTTTTTTTCAGTCATGGTGAAATAGGCGAAATGTGTAATAAACTACCTGAAGCTCGTCGATGGGTACGAGGGATTCGGCCAGGACTCTCGTCTCCTCGTCTTCGTAGCGTAGTGGCACCTAAAGAGAGACAGCACGACCATGAAGGTCATCATCAATATGACAGTCCCTTACAACAAAACCCGTTCAGTTCGTTCAATTCCATTACTGAACTATTACGCACTTAAGAGCGAGCGGCTCAATAATTGACAAAGACTTTACAAAGGACCTGTTAGGTATTCTTGCCTGCTGTAATAAAATTCTCGATGGACCCGCTCTAAATCAATCTCTCTATGCTCACAGGGGAAGCTGTCGTTTAGACACCTCTCATACAACTTGTAACGACTCGTTTAGGACGTTGTGTAATGCAGAGTGACGGATATAATGTTTGGGCAGTTCTTAAAATTTTTCCAGTATCCATTCAGTAGTCGTAGCAGCCGCAGCCTGGTTAGAGATAAACGTCAAAGCTATTTTTTAAAAATTAACTGCGGGACTACATGGGAGCCAAGTCGTAGACAATTACGACGAGATAACTAAGAAAGATAATTATGAAAAGAGTAACTTGTTTGGAACTATTGGAAAAATAAACCACTACAGTAAAAGACATACATCTTGAAATAAAAGGAGATTACTGTTTTAGCTTGTTTAGAGCCGATACTGAGCGTGACAACAACTGCTTGATAAGCGGCATTTTTAAACAGTCCACGTTTTATATCTAATATTTTTGTAATAATAATAATAATAATAACAATTATTATTATTATTATTATTATTATTATTATTATTATTATTATCGTACATAGAAAGTAACCGCAATTATCATTTGCATTGTTCCAATGAATCAATTAGTATTTTACTTACTTCATGAAGACCATCCAGCTGACGGAGAAGTGGGTGATTCCAGTCCATCTGGTAAAAAATAACAAGGATACAGAAAAGCGATTGGTCACACAGCAGAGCTTTTGATTAGCTCTATCGTCTGGCTCAAGATTTGTGCGTTCCCTTTTACAATGCCACCCTCGTCTCACGTAGTATATATTCGTCGTATGCTTTCAGCGATTCGAGGTGCGTTGTCCTATTGTCGCAGAATCATAACCGCTAATTTTTTGTTGCCAGTGATGGGATTTAAGAGACTTATTCACAACGTGGTAGTTACGTCATTCTAATTATTCACTTATGTATGCAGGCTATAAGTAATTTTGCTCTAGTGGATTTCAGAGGACAAAAGATTGTTTACATTAATGATACCGGAAAATGGAAGATATGCCGTTATTGAATAGTTGGCTACGTTATTGTTTACGTTTTTCTGTTTATGAATGAGTTTCTGTGCTACACCGTTGGTGGCGCTCCAGACGTCGGTCTGGCACAGAAATACATGTCAATCCGCCGTGTCGATATTGATAACTTACAAGACGAATAATTACAGTGAAATAATAATAACATAGCTTTCAAGTTAAATTCAAAGATAGAAGTATGTATTAGGTTATTTATTAGAGGTAGACCCCAGATGTAACGGGCTGTAATGAACAGCTAGGATCAGGCGGACGGTTATAGAAGCAACCGAAGGAACCAGATTTCAATTTAGATGATGACATACTCTCCTTTATTCGATTTTTTGTTTACAATCGGTAACACCGCTATCATATCTGGTAGAGAAACCTAAGCAATAGTACTTTTGCAGCTGAATCCATTTTTCGCGGCTAAAGTCCACTAAGCGTTCCAAATTGTTTCTAAAAGCTCTTAGTTAAATTGCTCATTAGTTCGTATGGGAAGTAGATCGCTTAAAAATACACACGAGCAAAATTGCCATCGCCTCGATGACATCCTCAACGCCATTTTTCGACATCGATGTTTGTGGCCACGCTCAGTATGCCATACTATTTTTATATTTCACTAAAGAATTACAACAGCAACAACGAAAAAGTGACCAGATGTTGCACTATCACTTGAATACGCTGTACAACGTAAAGCTCTTGCTATGAGAACATTTTTATGAGCAATACATGTTCATATGGTATGAGGTTACGAGTAGTTTTCATAAGGCACTCAGTTACATAGGCACACGGTAAATGCTGGAGAAGCACCTCATGGTTTAGAACTGCCGTAAATATATGTGATTGCGAACAAGGGTTGGGTTTGAAATGTAATCACGGTGTAATCTATTCGAAGACTGCAGCTCATCCTTACAGCGTTCTTACGCCATTGATATTGATCTCTTTGTTGAAGTGTATGTCTCTGAACGCAATACTCTGTTTTCGGCGGGTTTAATAAAGCAAAATACTAATATTTGTAATTAGGCAATCTCTTTAGGAAACTGAAATGAAAGTGTGTAGATTCTATCCAGCATTAGATAAAGAGCAAAACGCAGTTCGAATTTTTAGAATGAAAATAAAATAGACGGTGACAAGCACCAAGCTCCATTATGCAAAATTGCGCGAAAAACCGGTGAGGGCCGACGGAGAGGGAAGCCAAATCAACACTCCTCTCGCACGGAAGGGAACTAATAGAACAGCTGATAGAACACATGAAACTCGCAACCGTTGCCCAGCGCGAAAAAGCATTAACTAGTATAGATTTCATGGAAGAGCTTATTCATTAGCTTGCGGTTACGTACAAGTGACTCATATTTGCTGCGCTTTCTATTATATTTTTTAGTGTTGTGGGAAAATGCGGTAAGTATATCATATCACTGTGGTAAACTATATATATATTAAAAGAACATACCGGAAAGAAGTGTTATGAACTTGAGATCCTAACGTAGTATACATGAATCGAAACAACATTTACTAAAGTTTATTCATGGTATGTATGTATCTAATTTACAACAATTAATTCACTGATTAAAAAAAATAGAAGAAAAGCGTCAGAAATACAAGATAAGGGAAAGCGATAAACGTCTGTTTCCTTCGAATGCTTTTAGTAAAGTGACTCGGCACTCATTATGAGGACTATGAACCTAACTGTATGCCTGGCTTTTTAGGCTTTTGGAGTTGAAGGAGCTATGCCTGTGGCTGGGTCTTACCCCACTTGAGATTCTCATCCTTTTATTTGCCACACTCATATTTTCCTTCTTCGCTGCACTTAAGCTCGATGGACTCCTCGACGTAACCTGGTAATTTGCTTCATTGTACACGAGAAAACAAAAATAGTTAAATTTTATAAAATTTGAATTATATTGGTTGATATATTTTGAACCTAATATATATACTGAGGGGATCGTTTATTGACACAGCTAAGTATGTAGTTACTGTGTGCAATTACAAATCACCATCGCGAATCTGTTTTTATGCCAAAGACACTGAACGACTATCTTTCATCGAAAATCGGCTTTTTGAGCCTATTTGTGAGTGCATACATAATTTATCTTCTTTCTTCATATTCTTATATTTAAGATAAATAAAGATTTTCTCAAGACTTTCTAAGAAATTCACTGTCGGGACTTTAAGACGGAATTGTTTTTCACAACAAAAGATGCCTTGACCTTTCTCTGTAGGTTCTGTTATTATATATTATGTTATATAGTATATCTTCTACTGCATAACGGCCTTAGATGACAGGTCCAATTGTATCTTTAAATATTGGAGCGCATCGAAAATGATGTACTTCTAACAGATCAGGACTAGTGAGAACGTTATCAGTTATTACAATTTTGACTCCAACGTTACAAATAAATTTTGACATGATTATAGGATAATATCATATCTACTAAAGGTTCTAACTTGGATCCCGATTCACAATCGTATTTACTAATTAGTAGGGGTCAGTAACGGTTACTCACCCGTTTAACGACCGATCTGCCTTTGTTGTTAATAGATATGTACGGAAATGAATAAAATGTCAAGATTAGTTCTATACTAGTACGTTGATTTGCATTAATCCGGTAATCAAAGAGATCAAAGAAGGTCAAAGACCATGTGCGGTAACATAAAGTTGGTGTGCTTACTGTGAAACAAAGTACCAGCATTATAACACATAACAAACGTTATAAATGAAATAATAGCTTTCTAACTGAAAAATGCATTTTTTGCATAACGAAGGGAACTTCAAATCACTTTGGCTTCTGCTATAGTAATTAAAAAAAAAATTGTAGCAAATGGAAGATTTCATGCAGTCCTTAACATTACTTTGCCTACTCTATTATAAAAAAAATCTCAGGAGAGGCATCTCAGAGAAAATTAAAAATTAACGAAACGCATGAAATTTGCCAAGCATAACAAGGAGTCGTTCATATATGTAATTATGGTTTATTGATTATCTTATAAGCCCTTAAACCTGAAGCTCGCTCCTCGCTACATGAAGCTAATAGAACTTTACAAGCGAATCCGGCAAACTTTGAAATTGAATAACTTCTAAACTAGCTGGGCTAAAGTGCTATATTTGTTAAACAGTATTTCTTACTTTTACAGACTAACCTCATCCCTTTAACAGCTCTTGAACAGCCAAATGCCAACCATTTAAGTTCCCATACGTAGTTTCTCTATCTATGGCTTCTCAAAATAAATTGATAGTTGAGTATCAAGTACCCTTTTAGGACATAAAAAACCCCATGATCAGAGGAACTTCGAGCAGAAGAATAAGAGGCACGATATAATTTAGGCACGACGATGTCGTCTGGCCTTGTCATCAAATAACCAAAGCGCATGCTTTCGATATCCGTGCCGACGGTCCATAAGTCTGTTGAAAACTCGAGATAGCGGGTTGTATTGTTTATTTAATTTTCGGCGAGTATCTAACGTTAGCAGATGTTGCTGATGTTCATTGCATGCACGTCCCAACCTTCTTGACATTGCCACCGAACCTGATTTCTGTCCACAGCGACGTCATTCGCTGACCTGCAATCGTTCAATGAAGTACCCATTTTACTCTCAGTTTTCGCATTTTCAGTGTTTTAAGTTCTAACTCTATAACTCGTTACGTGTAAAGTGTCAGTTTTTACTGACAGAGTTTTTGGACTCCAAGCTCTGCCTTCGTGAAAAGCTTAGATTGCAGCTTCTTCTCTTTCGGGGCCCGGCATCTAGTTTTCAACCCTCCGATCTCTGTCCAGTCACGTACTGTGCCTTGTCTTCACCAATCTTTAATAAATTTCCGCAGCGCTACGATTTTCGAAGAAAAAACGTGACTACTGAACGATGGTTTAAGAGCTTATATATTTTTTCTTAGGTTGGCTTAATCGCTTTCCATTCTGAAGTGCTTAAACGATCCGAAGCCAAATTTCGTCTGCAAATTGTGACACGTAGTTCAAAAGTGATTTAATTTCAAAGTCCGCCGAATTCGTTTGTAAAGCGCCTTTAAATAGTACAATGCCGATCTTATTGACAGTATATATAGTTTTAAGATTGCTGACTCTGTCTTAAGAATGGTGGAATCAGTATAGAAAAAAAAAAATAAGTACAGGCGCTAAAAGCAACTTTACTTGTATCTATAATCGTAATGCGAATTTACAGTCAATAAGAGCAGCTTTGCATTCCATTTGTTGACTCTCAAGACGCCTAACGGTCTTTCGGAGATCAAGCAACTTTTTGGCTACAAACTAATCTGGCTAATTAAGAGACGCTACGCACTCATGCCGAAAGTACTGTTGATATAGTAGACGCATATAATTTCCTATATATATAAAAAAAAATATAAATATATATAAGAATAAATAAGAACCATATAAGAAAAAATTAAAGTAAGAGTAATTAGAGTAACTATTTATATATGATAGGGTGGTCGTGGGTAAGAAAGCAGAACGGACTGGAGCCTACTAACTGGATTCACATTACGAGCAACATTACTCAAATGGCAATATATTTTAATAGCACATTAGCATATTTGAACGAGAAGCTATTTCTATTACGGTATGTCGCGGTTCACAGACCAAGTATAATTATACTAGCTTATGCTGGCATCATCTATTATCCAGTTTACAACTAGCATTAGGTCTGCACGTAAATGCAGTCAAACAGGTCGTAACAGTTTAGGCCTTAGTCTAATTTGAATGCATAGACCTGTATTACCTAGGGCAAAGACCAGCGAACTTCAATCCCGTTGGGGATACTCAGAGTAATAAAATGCACAGATCATATAATATCTCAAGATTAAATTGCAAAATTTCACTCTAGCGTATAGAAGGGATTTGTTGTGGATATTGCAACTATAATCTAATACCGCAACTCTAATACCGGACTATAACTCAAGTGGTTCTATTTTTAATACATTTCATCTAGGTGGCGCCTATTTACGATATACTTTGTGGCTGATGGATTGATCTGTTATTTCTGTGTTATCGTCTTTATCCGTCAATATTTTCTTGGCCAGTACAAGGTAAATAAGAAGCCATTGCTAATATTTGAGTCAAATAGTTAACAAGTAAATTAAAGAGAGCACACTTCATGCACAGTCATTGATAAGAATCGGTTGAGTAAACTAATTATTTTTTCCTAATGAGTTTTTATCATTTATTACACAGGCGGCAGCTGTCCGTGCTCTGTGGAGCCTTGTTCAATTACTGGCCCTGTTCGCGTTCAAGTTGCTTTTGTGCTTTCGACTTGACGCGCACAAACATTTCACCTATTCAGAGGTACTAGCCTATTTTTCCAGTAGGTGTATATAAATACAGAACAGTTTCGTAAGTATATATTCCTTTCCTTCAAGCAGACTTTAACTACTTGTTAAGTTGACAGTAATAATTTCCTTACCTTATATTATTAAGGATTACCTTAAAGTATATATGTATTGCTAAATTTGATTTGATAAAATCTTTTTTCAGGTGTTCACCCCTGTATACGGTCTTCTGTTGACCCTGATGTTCCGAGCCTGTCAGATGCGATAATCTGTGACTTTCAACGAAATAAAATCAAAGCCTATATGTGTATTTAGTGTATCAAAATGTACAACACCATGAATTTATATATAGGTCCACATGTACGCTGTAAGTGAATAAATCTACCGTCTTGATCCTGAATTATAATAAAAATATGTTCGCTGGAGATAGAAAAGGAATATGTGTGCACTATTTTCTAAGTATAAAAAAATACTTAGTAAAGAAAGAAATACTAACAACAGCAGTACATAATGGACTCCGTCGAATAAAGGTTGGCGCGTGAAATGCTAACCTTTATTCCAGATATTTCAGTCCCTTCTTTTTCCGGTATACTATGGCGGTCTGCGTGAAATGAAAGAGTAACTAGCCTCCTATTTAAAAGTTTCGCTATTACAAAAATTTAAAACAGTGTGATATGTCGCGAATATTGTATGTACATATAATTTATGATGATGCAATTGTACTCCTTCGAATCTGAGACCATTCGCTGAGGTTCAACTGAGAAATAAAAAATTCTACGAATATGAGCTCCATTTTATAAACGCAGCAGCAGAGACAGCCAGCTGTCTAAATTTTATGTTCGATGAATGATTTGTTGCGTTTGGTTTGAAAGTTTTTAAAAGGGCAATTTTAACTCTAAAATAAGCCCTAAGGAAGACCGTGTGCAGAGGCGAATCGCGAAATATTCAGGACTAAGGTCTCTTCCTCGTAAGTGTTACGAACGTTGGCAATAAGACCTTTTGTGTATAGAAATAGCGTACCTGTTAACGCAGCTTACATTCGCGAGGTAAAAATATTAGACGACGAAATGCCGCGTGATATGAGTGGGGATTAAATACAAAAACGTAAAAACACTCGCCTTCCTTCGTTCTCACGTCTTACCCATTTTTCTATTGACAACACCGTCAATGAGTGAAACGCAACGTAGTCGGGAGCACATCACCTTCGAGCAAACGTGCGGCTACAATAGCACATGCTATATATCTTGCCGGTCTGTTATCCATTATGGCTTGGCAATTTTGACAAACTGCGCATAATGTCCAACTAAGATCATTCAACAAAGGCAAGTCACCTTTATCGTATGATCCAGCATATTTCTAGACACGTCCAAGTTGAAGATCTAATATCGAGCAACGCTACAGTTTTAGGGAGAAGTAAACTTTATATTCACGCTATACCATCGTCGATTAAATCTCCTTACTTACCGCTCCTTACTGTTTCTCGCTAATGAGTCGTTTCGTCCTGTACCTTGAGTGTTTGCAGTGTGTATGTGTGAAAAACGAAGACCACGTCTATAATGTACGCCAAACAGTTTTTAGCGTAGTAGGTTCTAACGCATAGCAACTCATTAAGGAAATATGAAAGCCGGAATTGCTGCTGAAGATACTGAATTATGCTCTAAATTCTCGTTTATGACATAACATAGCATGCTACCTATAGTATACCGTGATGAAGACACTGCCAACTTCGATGTCTACCTACATTGTTCCAGTAGCGCAGCTCTTTATTAATAGTAGTCTTGTTACATTGTTATAACTAACATTGGGATTTTTGTTGATATTATATCTCTATTTTGTGTACAAAAACATACTAACGAACAGCATGCAAATGACGGAAACTAGTTAATTCGTGTTCCTTCAGTTTTCTTTTTCGTATTGATGGTCGTCTTGATTAAGACGAAAAGTACAATCCAAATATCACCGCAATATTAACTCTTACCCCTATATGTAGTAACTGTCATTGGAGTTGCAATACTGCTACTAATACCGTGACTTCAATAGACAGCTGATTGACATAATGAGAGTTTCCGACCGCTATCAGAATCACTGTCTCGTGCATGTGACGCTGCTGTTGCCGCTGGATCGTGACCGTCTAGCTGTTTCGTCACAGTACGTACAAATACTATGTAAATATGAGAGTTTGGTGTATAATTTAACATTTGGACTGCTGCAAAACAGCCAAATCCGAGTGGATGTCGTAACAGTAACTGTTATAGTCAGTCAGGTGGGAATAACAGCAACCCATCGTCGCTAAGCCTAGCAGCAGCAGCAGCAGCTCAACGTTGTGATACCGCTCGGTCTTGTCTCGCCATTTTTATCGTCTGAACCGAGGTAGGAAGGTAGACGCTAGGTACAGGGACTCATGGATGCACGAACCCCTCATCGTGCCTCATCCGTTGCTATTTGATTCTGTCATATAACAATGTGTGTCACTCCGAACAGCAGCAAGCACGTTTATAGGTGTTGTTAATTCGTCACTGCTACGGTCATTCTAACAACAGCCTGCATTCGGCCGCAGTCGCCATGCTGCTTCTAGCCTGCGTTGCTCCAGCCAATGCTTTATATATATATATATATATATATATATATATATAATCATGTGTCTATCTAGATCGTAATAAGAGTCAAACTTATATAGTGTTTCGCTCCGCAACTTTCGACAATCGTGGGATTTTGTGACGATGCTCTGAACATGATTCAAGTTTTATCCATTTAAATTGTTTCTGGTATTGCTTCTGATCTTTAAGCAGATCGTTTGCCTGGCAATTCTCTTAAATTCCAGGTTGCTAGTGCAGTGATCTTTGTTTTTATACAGTGCACCGCGTATGGTGCGACACACACTATTCCCGAACTGATCAGCGAACACAGATAGCAATTGTCTGAGAAAAAAGTTCTGAGCAACTCCAGCTGAGCTGACTGGCCGCCAATGTCCAAACAACCCTTCTCATGGCGATTTCACCGAAAAAGTGATGACGACAACAACAACAACAACAACGACGACAATAATTTAGCTTTGCTATTACAACGACTTTCTACAGACATCGTCATTTTGGCATCATTTGGAATATCACATTATGGCAATCCAAAAGAAGTTGTACCAATACATTGTTGCAGAACGGTTCCTCCCGGCGACTTGACTGGTCTACCTCGACTCTCAATATGCACCACAACTAATGAATAAAGTAAGATTATCATTAGATCGAGAAAATATCTGTTAAAAAAATAAACACTCTGGTGATGTTTCCCGGGCGGATGCGTCCAAGATTAAATAGATCCATTTATTCTTGTTCGCCTCATTATCACTGTTTTACAACAACAACAACAACAACAACAACAACAACAACAACAAAAACACTGCACTTCAAATAAATGTATGTATCTATAGGCTTTTTTTCAAACGAAGAGTTAACCTCGTAAAGATGCGTAACCTTAGCGTAATCAAAAACCAGCTAAATATAATCCAAACTGAAATGAACTAGACGAAAGGTTTTTATCATGTACCGTAGAGATTCCGGGCAACGGATGCAGCTCTCTGATCGTTCACATTGCAGATCATTCGTAATAACAACGATTCGTACAAATCTACTCGTGCTATCGTGATCTACCATTAGCATCCCGTATATATACACATAATAATTTTGAAGCATAGCGTCTTCTCAATAACTAGCTCTATTGTAATAAGTAAATCATGCTAGCTTGCTTGTACAGTTTGTGTGTATTATATGTGTATATATATATAGGTCTATGGTTCGTTGTAAAAATATATCAATAGTATTCGCGTTGCTTTTCAAGCTGAGGTCTACGACTGCTTAGACTATTTCTCTCCGGGCTGTTGTGAACGTATACGAAGATTATGCTAACCCTTCATCTGTTATTTCCCTCCGAGATGAATACGTTTTTAAGCCACGTCTCAGATATTTCAGATATGAAAAAGTGTTCGAAGTAATCAAAATGCAAGTTTCACCAACCTCCTCTAGCATCTTCTCTAAGATGAGGGGGAATCTGAAAAGAATTATAATACATATAATTGTTTCGTATTTATATTTTGCGCCTGTGTGTGCACGTGTCATTATCAACTTGCATGTATATAACACAATTGTCCTAGCATATATCATTGTCACCGGGCATAATATGTATAATTAACTGCCCTATTTACTTTAACATTATGTTTATATATGTATATATATATATATATATATATATATATATATATATATATGTGTGCATTTAGCCCCACTCACCAGCTGTGTTCAATTGAATATGATTCACATTCTCTTTTTGCCTCTGTCGTTTGTGTTTGTTTATCCTTCGCGCGTTGCCAGCGCCGTCTTATAGTTCCCCTTTTGCGACCCTTCTTGTTCAAGTCGATTGTTCTGTTCTCTCACCATCTACCAGTGTTGACACTCTGGTATGGTTGAATGACTCTTCGATCTCTGTGCTCTTCTACCAGCAACGCTGCAACGGTACTGGAATTTAGTTGAATACTATATTCTGTGACGAGTGGGTGCACGAGCACGAATCTGTAATATTCGTGCGGAACAGTGTGACGACCTAATAGGTTTTATCATTGCATCATGGTACAGTCTACTTCATTGCCAGTACACACTAATAATAATAATAATAGGAGCTAGCTTTCTTTGAAAGGAATGGTGATCAAGAATCCCTTCGACAATCAATTACACGGTCTCCTCTGCATGCACCTGCACGCACGTATCATGCTCTACTGAAGATTGTTGGCTTAAATATGTCATTATTGTGAGAAAGAACTACTAATTGTGCTTAATTATAAGTCTAAAATCAGCAGAAGAACGTCACAGCCAATCCTCTGGCTTGACTCAGTTGGGGCTGCTATAATTTCTTCGTATATAAACTGTTGTGAGAAAAAAAACCGTTGAGAAAGAGGCACGCTATTAAGACAGCAGTGTCTAAGGCAAATGGTTTGTAAACTTCGAGCTGGCAAGCCTTTCTGCTTGATTCAGGTTTGCCATATTGCTACAAAACTAACATACAATATACTGACTATGAATTAGAAAACGGGACCATTCACAAAGTCAAGGGTTCGAGGCGGGCTGTGTTACTAGTCGTTAGCTCACTGGCATAATAATTGCACGAACTGCGTGCAAATGAGTTCGATATGGCCGCTGCAGCTGTCTACGGCTGTCGCCGCTAGGCACGTATCCCGCGGCAGTCGAGCAATTTGCCTTTGGGAAAATAGCACTGAAACTTTACGCAAGGCTTGTTTAAGACGGCTAGTTATACATGTTCATACTGTGGGAATGGGTGCGTCATTTTCAAAATATTGTACAACACCTCTTCCATTTCTGGGTCAAAAGACTGCTTGAACTTGCCCCAAGGGAAAAGGTTTTCGATGCACGTTTTACTACGATCGTCTTTCCATTCATCTGAAGTGTAACCAGTGGCTCCTAATTGAACTAAAGCGCTCTGAAAATAGTTCTGCATGTAACAATTGGTCATCGTGCGTCGAATCCAATTGGTCCGGGATATTGGCAAGATTCAGTGGACCTTGAAGATGGCAATAGTGAAAGAGATTTCAGTATCATAAAATAAAACAAACTGCTTCTAGATTGTCGCCGTGACTGAACAAGTAAGAATGTGTTTTTGAATATGGGTCGTAACAATTCAAGGAGTTTTCTCTAGACTACATTAAATACGATGTGTAAAAAGATAAACATACAAATCAGGTGTCGTTCATTGAATTGCAAGAAAATAGCGTTCGGAAATAATCAAGCGGATTAAAAAATAAGCCGTAGGCAATGGGATTTATATTTACATTTGAATATCAAGCAGTAATCACTGCTATACATTCTACAAGTGAGGGGACTTCTAACGGTACTACTATGATGTTGGCTTTCAGATTCGGTCAGTGCCCTTTGACAAACGTTAGCTTAAACTAGAACAATAGCAGCTTTCTTAAGTGATTCTTCGGGCATTGTGACTCCTTAAGCTGTGATAAACCGTTTAAAATTCGACAATTAATTAGCTAATTAAGCTTAACATTGACTCAGGGATTGGACAAACATCGTGCTGGATTCTCTTCTTTAAATACATTTATTGATCGACACTCCCATTCAATATTGTAACCAATTTTTTGTCACAAACCTTCATTTTTTCACTAATAACCAGTTCCAAGAGCGTCTTATTGGAGCCATTTGACAATAATGATGATTGATTACGTATAATGATTGGTATATGAAGGGTGACATACTGAGGCGCTACATCTACAACGGTGTCCTTCTATTTATTATCATAGCGTTATTACTGTTAGATAGGTTCGAATGTATCTTGACTAACGTTGATAGTAACGATACGTTCCTGTGGTCTGTTATTTATTATATCGGTCATAAACTGCCTCTGCAAGGCTGCTACGAACAGCATTCACAAGCGATATCCAGCCTGCGATTATGAAACAGCGGTCCGGCGTACGGCATTCCCGATTCACTGTGGTGATGTGAGCTAGAAGGCGTTGTTATTATTGTTTATCTATACGGGGAATATACAACATTTGTACCCTCCGAAAAGCGCCTATTATGGTTCGTTGTGCAGGCGGAAAAGGCCAGTGAGTTTTTCCCCGCTGATCACCCACTATATGATTATTATTATTATTGATTATACGGTTTGACCCGTTCTGAAATTGAATTAATTCACATCGATTCACCTTCCTCTGCCTGAAGCGTTATGTTTTTTTGTTGCATTTCTGTTTATGTCCTGAGTATTCCTCACGTTACGTTGTCATTTTATTCGCTGTCATCATCGTGTGACAAAGTACCGATTTCTCTCTCTTTGTTTTGTTTTTTTTTTTTTGTTACCTTTAGACGGTATTCCAGTAGCTTAGGAGCGAGTAATTGAAATCGGGCGAGCGTCGCTTGACGGGGCCGATGATACGGAATATACCAAATGAAGTTACAGAACAGTTATACGATTCTACGAACGTTGGAAAGACAGGTTGTTTGAGCAGTTCATTTTAATTCCAATTCTATGTTTCATACTGAAGACTTGAAGAATCTGTTATAGACAAGCAATAATCCATATACAGTATGCGCCCTAGATACACGTCATTCGCGCTAGACACACATAGATTGCCACAAATGACTGTATTTACTGTTATTAGTAAAAGTTGTATATATGTATATGTGTACCTACATGTGTGTGTGTGTGTGTATATATATATATATATACAACGTATATAATGATTTCATGCGTCAAACCATTCAATTCGGTTCTATTTTTGTACCCTTGTAAGTATGTAGAATAAATAAGAACTCTGATTCTGGGGGGGGGGGGGGGGGGGGTAAGCAATAAGTAAACGAAAAACGAACAAAGGGCGTCCCATTTTTCTCGTTACAAACAGTCTGCTTCCGTCTGGCTAATTGATTATCATATTATATCTGACACATATACCTGACGTTTAAATGTATCCTATTGACTCTTGCTCGCATCAGCCATAACATATTTCTGTTAGTTTTACGACAAATGGTTGTCTTTTACTGTATATAGTTGCTCGACCGTATTCACAGCACTCACCCATGAAAGCTCAATTAAATATTGGCTCTACTCTATCCTAACATAGGTGTGACAAATCATTTACACACTCTATCTGGGAAATTTTGTCATGTTTTCCCATACGGGAATTTAAAGCCATTTAAGCCAGAGCTTCAAACGTTTTTTTTTTCTATATCCGCATCTCTCGTCACTGCCGAGGTACGTGTATGTATATATATATATATATATCTATCGCTTTTCCCAAAAGCGACTAATTCACTTATAATAGCATCATCAGTAGTATTATTACTCTGACCTATCCGACTTGAATTACGCACTAATGTATATTCGCGCCTAGGTATAGCGCTATCTAATACGTTGACATGTATGTTGCTTACGCAGGTTATACTGCGAATGTGAGGACTTTTCCTATTCGTTTACCTGTTCATTATATGGTATCTACCTAATTATCGGTATTCCTATTTTCATCCAAAGCCTCTCAGTATTAACTATTGGCTTAACACCAGCTCTAAATGTTCGCCGTTTGTGCTCCTTCGTCACTTTGACTATTGAGTTCTGAAGCCGTGAGGCTTCGTTCTGCGAGTTTTGACCTTATATGTTTCGTGGTTAAACAAATAGCTCCGATGACGTCTCCTCAGAACGTGCGAGTTAGCGCCTTAGCCGGGCTCACGACCGGCCTCTAATATCTCTTGCTGCTACTTTTACTCGTACCGCTGAGATCTCTCCCACCCTCCTCAGGGCCCATACCTGTTAAGTGAAACATTCGACGAAACGTGCCTTAAGAAGGTGTTGCATATATGAAGTATAGTATAAACACTAAGCAAGTCCCTGTTCTGCCTTCATTAGGGGGTGTTTGCTTATTTATCTACGTAACGCTTCCTACGTTGACCTAATCGGAAAAAAAAAAACGGGCATATGGAAAAATGATGAATTTTCTTGGCTTCCGGAAATGATTCTTTTTGATATTTGCTAAGGATTTCCTAGTATTCGACTGATCTGAAGGACAGAATCATCATTTCGTAAATAAATGCGTTTTCCTCTATAGCGGGACAAGGAAAGTACGGGGGTTGTGTTGTCCTTTGATATGCATGGTCTGCTTTAGCTGTCCGATGATGCGTCCCTGTCTCTTTTATACATACACATCAGGCCAACATATGGGATGAATTGCTTCTGTAGGCAAATTCGCGCCTTAAACACGTCGAGGTGCATTAACTGGCTGCATGACAAATCTCATTTACGTATGTGGTCCATGTTGACTTTCCAGTTTCGCGCCTTGCGAGAATGCAAGGCAAATCCAAGTCATATCAATGATAACAAGGCGAACTACTTTCTAACCCTAGAAAATACGAGCACAGCGAAACCGTAGGATAAATTTGTTTCCTGTGTGAACCTGAAGTACGATGCTCATGGTGGATACGAACTAAATATGGCTCTAAGGACTAATCGCGCAGCTCGGATGAAAGAAATTACACTAAATACAGGAGGAAGTATCCTTCGCAACTGCACCAACTTTGTGTACTTTGAAGAAGCCAAAGAAGTATAGCTGCTATTAATGAGAGACATGTTCATGTCCCGTAAATAAATGAAACGAGTAAAAAGTTACAGAAACTTGATTGACTATTGTCTGTGATAAAAGTTCAGGCGATAATGCATCAGACAACGCTTCGTCTACTTAATCCTGCTGTACTGCAGATGCTCACCGATAGATACAAACACCCATTTCTGATAAAAACATGTTGCGTCGTAACGACTGATGTTGCTATAACATTCTTGCATTACATCCACTATAACGACGAGTGCCTAAAGCATTTTCGAGGGCTCGAAAAGGCTTCCATTGTTGCGTTCCAACTTGCAATGGCCCATTTACACTAGCTGTGTGAGTTGGAAGATAATCGCCAGGGCCTCCAATGACGATATTTCTCTGTTACAATTTTCCATAGAACTCGAGCTGATCTTATCACAATGTGACTGTCTATAGTTGTGATACTGTAGTCTCCATAGTTGATGATGACTCTGAATTTGGTGATGGTGGAAATGGATAACACTTAATTTGATCAGCATCAGCGTTGACACCATCACGCACTAACGTAGTAGAGAGTAGACCACAAGCGAGAGGTAGGGGAGGAGCCACCAAACTGGACTGGTTAGCCCCCGCTAGTCAGATCAACCATCGTGTTATCCCCGGAAGAATGTCGGTTAAAATCTGTACTGATCCTCTGACGTACAACAGCTTTGAGTTACAGTAATATACAGTGAACAGATTACAATGCAATTGTTATATGAATCCACTTGACAATGAAGGGCAAAGTTGTCAAGCAATGATCATTTAATAGAAATAATTAACGACACCGTATCCCGACATGTCCTTATCAGACGGCAAGCAAGCCGTTCAACTGTGCAAGCGAGCAGAACAAGTTACCCACTTAATAGACGTATTACTGCACTGCGTTGACGGTGGGACATAATAACTGTAAAGCGAAAGTTTCGTTTCGTGTTTGTGGAATGGCAATGATATTGGTCATAATAAGCAGTCACTCTCGTAATATTAGACACGCACATACCAATTGTTGCGTGAGAAGTAAAACCAGTTTTTGGATTACTGGCCACCGTTGTGAAGACTTCCTGAGAAGAGTCACTGCCAGAACGCTGTCGTACTGTGTCACATTCGGTCGATTTAACTGCTATGCGCGCTGAGTTTTCGTCGTTTTTGTTGATCGCCGCTTTAGGCCTCTCATCCAAAATTGAGCATACAGCGTTTTCCAGCCCGGTGGCACCGCAGCCATTTCCGTTCAGGTTGACAGCGTAGTTCCTCAGTTGAACCTTTGAAACAGGGTTAGATCGTTGAATAGAAGAGCAGTTGTTATGCCATACACTAATTAGATTAATTTTTTTGATGGTTAGCTAAGCATTAGAAATTTTCTTAGCACTAAGTTTAACAGAAGCAGTGGCAGAAGGCATCTGCCCCATGTGATGCTGGGTTGGTGCCGTGTTTGCCTACCGAATTGAGCAGTGAGTTAGTCTAGATTTGAAGTTGGACATAGGCGCACTTTGCACTATGCCGGTAGAAGACAGTTGTCTTAAATAATAATCTATGGCGGTGAAGCAGAAGGTAAAGCTCGAAAAATTTTTTCATCTAGTAGTGGAAGTTACGTGGGAAAGGACATGAGAGACGAGACGCACATTTAGAGAAGACAATCTTTTGTCCGAAAAGCGCTTCTTCTTTTTCTCTTTATTCATAGCAAGGCAAGTCAGTTGTTACCTTGTTATGATATGACGGTGGGCTAGCACTGTTGGGATGAGCCTTGCGGCCCATGGAGGCGATATTGTTGCGTCCAGTGTAATCACGCCAGGCTTGCGTAAGGGCCTTGTCAGAGGGCCCCCATGCTGGCGAAGGCTGACATGCCTTCAACAGGCGCTGTAACAGTAACAAAAAAGAAGAAGCAAGAAAAAAAGAAAATGAGAAGAGTTGTAAAGATATAGTTAAAACCCGATTAGTTACTATCCGTTTTGAGTTTGAAGTGTCCGACATGAACGCTTTGTTGATAATGTACTCGACACATCAGTCGACATTAATTAAGGTAGAAAAAGGCTGAAATTTATAAAACTACATTGGGTAAAGGTAACGGTATTCATACGGACCAAAATAGTCAAGATAAGCATGTGTCAAATATTCTTGTCTCTGTGAACCTACCTCTTTAAGTGAATCCGCATCTTTTACGCGGAGAAACTGGACGAATGCCCACAATGGGATTTGTAGCATGGCACAAAGTGCAACGCACCAGCCCATCGCGTTTGCCCACGGTGGAAAGACGTAAAACCCATATTCCAAAGGCTTAGCGGCCTCAATTAAAGCGAGTGAGAACACTATCTGTAACAAAAATCGACCATTTAACAATTATTGATTGTAGGGAAAACTACTTTAGGCTAATTCCAGTCGTTGATAGTAGATCTAATCGTTTAAAATATGATGCCTTTAGAACTTTGTGAAACTCCTTGAGGCACTCTTCGTTGCCCCTAGGGTTTATGCCGCGCACAACTTACAACTAGAACAGCGGGTGCGGTGTAGCCCCAAGTCCATTTCCAGTAGGGTCCAAGTTGTTTGTCGAGCATAAAGTGAATGTCTGCCGCAATGTTTTTATAGCCGTAAACCCACGAGATCGCAATGCACTCACAAATTGCGATAAAGATCAGGGCAGTGCTTCCGCCATATTTGTCCATTACTTCGAGTACATACTGACCACCCTACGAAGAGAGCAATGTGGGTCTGTTGTTAGAGTTACTGAGGGTACTGTGTAACAAAACTAACAGATCGATCGCTTCATTTGAATTTTGAATTACCATCACTGTTCGAGATTTGAAGTTCACAGTAAGCGCACATTAGTACCAACATTGGCGAGTTTCATAACAAGGACATAAAACCCATGATACGTACCCTCGTGACGAAGGGTAGCCCAAGGAAAAAGCAGATGACACCCGTAGTGATTGTGAAAATCATCTTGTGTCGTCTGAGTTGGGGAACGGCATCAGAGATTCCAGTCAGAAAGTTCTCTAAAAGGGCGAACTAGAATAACGAGCGACCAATAGCAATTAGTAAACATATACTATTTAGAAGGCGTATATACAGAAATAAGTTACTCTGTTACATAGCGTTGTCTACAATGCATACAACCACTAAGTAGAATTTTCAAAAGTAATCTATACTCGAATATATATATATATACATATATAACTTGTGCGGATTAGGATTTTGGAAAAAACGAGCAAAAAAAAGTCATTAACCAGCCAACCGACCTCGCTGTCGAGTCCAAGAATGAAGAGCATAAGGAAGAATAGCACCGACCAGAGCTGAGGACACGGCAATCTGGCCAGAGCTTCGGGATAGGCCACAAACGCCAATCCGGGACCACCTTGTACCACGTCCTCCACCTGATCAGATCATGACAATTAATCACTACTGTTAATAACTGGCTTAGTCATATTTCTGTTTACCACTTCCAAACTGCTAATTAATACTACACCTTTATCATTTTTTTATTTATTCTGCTATTGTTTGTTCCTTCGCACTTCGGACGGCCATTTTATTCCCTATGCAAAAAGCAGGAGGTAAGAAGGGAGAGGCCTCGCGCTGTTGCTGAGCGTTTTTTTTTCGCTGTTAAAGAGCAAACACTAGAAAGGCATCTGCTTTAGATACATATAGCTTTGTACCCTATGTAAGTGATGGTTGATTGTGCGTAGTTTTACGCGCGACAACGAACTGCTAGCTCTCCGTTACTCAGCCTGATAATAAAACAGGTAATGATTAAGGTAACGCCTACAGCAGTAGCAGATGAAGCGAACAGATGATCCTATTCGCCATATCTGCTCTTCCCCTATATGAATGTAGCCTTTATTTTAAATGAGCAATTAATAACTAAACGTAATAAGACTTTACTATTATCGAGTTTGTTTAGTATTACTGAGCTATGTCGATTGGAGCAGCAATAAAAAGGACCGAATTTCGATGAAAGTTTAACCTAGCTCTGTGTTTTGAGTTTTCTTTTCATCAGACGAACCGTGATAGCTTAATGGGTAACATATTTGCATGTTAATCTTTGGGACACATTGTGGTCTAGGTTCAAATCCGGATGGGTATGGACAAATACGCTTCGTTTCGTGCTGGGACCGAAGATCCAAAACAAATAAGTTTAGCTTATCTATGTATACCAAACCACCCGCGTACCTTAACATTCAGTTCATGTGCCATGGCGCCAAGAACCGAGAAAATGACTAATCCCGCAATGATTGATGTGACCGTATCTAGAACGGAAACAATCATGGCGTCCCGGAAGACGTCGTTACCGAAACGGTTATATGATGAGTACATGATCAGACCTCCTCCGGAAACTCCCAGGGAGAAGAACATCTGACCTGCCGCAGCTTGCCACACCTGCACTCACCCCAATGAATTTCAGAGTTATATGTCAGAGATAAAAATGCTGCCAATTAAAATAATGTAACTTATACAAATTATTTTTAATAAAGCATCGCATAAAAAAGTAATCTAATGTATTAATACAGGTAGATCACTATTACAGGACTTATTTATCGGCTTCTATATAGGAGAGCGCTATTTACATATCGCATATATGTAGCTCTACGAAATGCTGTTGATCGCAGATGCGTGCACGATAATTCTCTGTTCAAAGCAAATATAAACAATTGACATTAGCTCTGTTAGACGTCTTGTGTTATAGATAAGATTAAGCTTAAACCAAGCCGTCGTGGTGTCTTGATCATCGGTTACCTCGACCGTGAGTAGCTTTTTGAAGTCGGGCGTTATGAAGTAGAAGACACCTTGCATGGCCCCTTTTTGTAGAAGACCGGTCACCATTAACGTAAGCAAAATCACGTATGGAAACGTCGCCGCAAAATAAACAACCTGCAACAAGACTCGAACGTTGTCCGTATCACGCAAAATTATCATAGCGCCTATTGTAAAGCGTCCACTAAGCATTGCATATTTCATGTCGAATCAAATGGGAGCGTGTCAGATACATTATTGTACAGGCTGTTGAATTCTAAAGTTTAATTAACTTTAATTTTTTACTCAGTTACGATTGCCTCAGATCGAGCATCACGTTCGTCCTGTCAGCTTACTGTGATGGTTTATATGGCTGGCACATATTTAGTTTTAATAGAATAAAATTCTACTGTTCTACCACTGTAGTGTTAAAGGAACTCTGTTACGATTATGAGTGCTAACCAAAAGAAAAATTATTTTATATAATATAAGCCAATATTTATCTTCACGAACTATCTTAACCTCTGACACTATGCTGACGTTTACTAATTAGATTAGAGAAAGACATCTGAATAAAATTCTAGTAGCGTTTATGTCTGTTTTATGCTACGTTCTTATTTAATAGTTAGCAACGTACTTTTCCCGAGGTTTTTATGCCTTTTAGAAGGCAGGCAATGACGATAATCCATGATATAAGAAGACATAGCGCTAGATCCCATTTTATGCCGTTCAGATTTTCAATTCCTGTACTAATGTCCAAGACCGTGCGCCTAAAGGAAGTGTAAGCAAAATCATAGAAAAAAAATCAGTGGCACATGGTTAGAACTCAATCACCCTTCCAATTTCGATTATCCAATAGATTATTCAGATTTGGGATTAGTTGATAGCGATCCGATGAGCAAATACTTACTCCCAGTAAAGCTGGCTCGATGGCACGCGGCTTGTCAGATTAGTCATCGTTGCCTGCATCGAAGGAGAACAGAACCAGTCTGAATGATTCGTAATTTTAAAGCTGAAATTTTTCTTGCCCAGATTATGTCATTGTTAAAACAGGGCTACATGAAACTTCTGAAAAGGTACTATGGCAAAGGTTTGGTTGACTTAAGCTGATGTTGTATCGGTATCGATAAAACAGTGTGTTAATTAGAAGGAACAATCATCGATATCGAGTAACCCTTACAGATGGGCCATTTGGTTTTGTCAGCGCTCGCTCCTACTTCGTCGACGACCTCTGGTGAACGAGTAAAAACCCAAGTGGACAGTAAGGGCAGGGGGTGGGTTATTTGGAGCTGTGGTTATTTCTGGCTGACGGCTGGCGGCGAGGACAGCATAAAGGCTGTCGGATGGTAGCAGAAAAAGAGGCGCCTTTGAATCCTGAATCCGTTTAGGGCGCTGAATCGCTCAGCCTAGACCGCCGGACCCACACAGCGGCAGCCCGAAAACACCGACGATCATCACAGCCATGACGGCGGCTTTTGGGTGTCGATGGCAACCGTTTACAGTTGTTGGGAGCTGCGCTGGGAGTTGGGATATTGGGTGGAACCTTTCAAGGCTGGTCTTTGAACTAGCCAGCTTGTTTGCCTGGTCATGCCCGCCGCCGTTATGTTGTTTATTTTGCTTATGCTCGCCGCCGGTTGACAACAGAGAGACTACCGCCTCGGAATCGGTTTAGTCAGAGTAGCAATAGGAATAACAAACAAAAGTGTCACTAACAGACGCAACTCGACACAACAATCCCTTGCCCCCTCTACCCCATTCTCTCCAACATTCACCAATGCTTGCTCAAACAAGGCCCTCCTTACATACAAACTCTGTCGCCATCGCCAATAGGCCTAAATAATACGAACACTAGTCCCGCACCCCCAGCACGAGGGCAGACGACTTCAGCTACTCCAACACTGGTAATGAAAGCCGCGTCAACAGCAACAGCGACAACCCTCACCATTAGCAGCACCGGCTATCGGCCATAGCGATGGCTATCTTGTGCTGATTTGTCACTTATTCGTATGGACGGACGGACGGACGGGCAAAGAATGGAGCAGGAATCGGGGTGGCGAAAAGAAGGGCAAGCGGAAGTTGGGCGGTGATGCTCATGCTGTCATTGTCGTAGTTGCTGATAAAGCAGCAACAGGGGGCAGCGTCTCGAAAGAGATCTGGGTTGTCTCGCCGATACACTTTATGCACAGATCATGGGTTGTAGGCCACCAGCAGAGGAACCGAAACTAAAAGTCCGTATCCCACAGAACCTTATCAAAATCAGCAGAACTCTAAAATTCGATAGCGATTTGACTCGTTCTTGAAAAATCTGCCAGATAAACATTTGTGCATGGATATATGTATAAATGCTCTCAGCTGACCTGTCTTAAGGAAAAGCTACACTTACGTTAATGACACTCGTGCCGATAGAGTTATTGGTTTGATTGAGGCCAGCACTAGAGGCCTCAGAGCGCACGTAACAGCCAAATGAAACCCACGACGGATCGCAAACCTCCCATGGTAATTGTGCCTGTAACATACCAGCAGATTGCTTCCAGTAAGCTATTAAGGCTACATTAGTTAAATTTTGTGTAAATGTTGATAAGAGCCTGAATTTTTTTCGGTTATCAATAGTTTACATTAATTTGTATTAGAAAAACGGACTGCTTTCTAAATTGTTATATGACCTATTGGCCAAATGCCCACAGGATATATATCTAACTACTGACATAAGACTGGACGATGCTGTCGTAATTCCATGCATTTCTGTTAAATTTCCAACTAGGCGAAAATAGTATTAACATAAAATTTCCCGTTCGATAAAGACAATGAACCCATTATTACCAAAGACTCAGGATCACAAAAAGCACTCAAGAGTCGTTCTCCTTTTTATTTCGTCTCGCATTCTACAAATCGAAGCAGATTGGAACAGCTCTATTGCTGCCCCAGTTGTAACGTAAACATTACAGCAAATATGAACATGTGCAAGTTAATGAGATGCACCCACACATGTGTAAAAATGAAAAAAAAAAAAAGCTGCGAAGGTACTTACCTGAAATGTAGCGCCCATAAAGTACAGTGTGTAACACATGACCACATTATAATAAACGCACACGATCAACGATGAGATAATCATTGCCATTCCGACTCCTGTAATCGGAAGATATATTCGCCATGCAAGATAGATAATAGCAAAATTTATATTCGCAACATTTCACTTGGATCACGTTATAAACGTGATTACACTTTTTATAAAAACTTTTACCCTAAATCAGACTTTTCTACACGGCCTCTGGGAAGGTCGACAAATATTTTCAAGAGGAGGACCTTTGAAAAATTGATCAAAATGACTCTATTTCAAATACACTCAGGTTAGCAACAACTTGTTGGCCGTTTTGAGCTTTCGCATTTTTCGGATTTAATTCGTTTCGTGAGCCTCGTTCCTGTTAGCATGCTACTATTGGCGGATAAAAGGGGAACTATTTTGAAAATTACCAGTTAATTATTTACGTTGGCAACTGAAAGCGTGATGACGCTAAATAGTGGCTTTATTAAATAAACATAATCATTAGGAATGACTTTTCTACCACATGTGAGAGATATTATTGAAATATCTTTATTTGTTTAGATACGGCTTTAAAAGGAAAGCTTAAGGAGGCGAAGCTAAATAATATTTAAAATATTTTACTATTATTATTATTATAAGACAGAATCACAAGTCATAATAAAAATCTGCTTGTAGATAGATGTAGCGTGCACTTGGTAGACAATAAAAGCTTATACTGCAAAAAAAAAATACCTTTACAAAAAGGCGAACATGCCCAGATGGTGAGCGGGCCCTGGCCAGCAAACTGTCCAAATGCCAGTTCCATGAAGTACATCGGCTTTCCGACCAACATCAGCATTACTAGATAGGGTATTAGAAATGCCCCTACAAAAAAGAAAATTACCGTAAATTACCGAAAATCTGAATAATATTTAGCATTCTTATTTAAAATAAGCTCCGTTGATTTGTTCACAGTTGGACAACTAGATGGCAGCACTATCGATGTTTATAGTTAATTATTGTTCGGTGGGGAAACGGTTTCTCGAACGTAGACCGTATATAGATCCTGTTACGGTAGACAACAATTATTATAAAAACAAAAACAGTACAGTACATATTTTTCTAAGAAGTTCTTGTAACTGAAATAAATCATTTTTTCTTCGACTACTGTGCCTGTCGCATTTAATCGCGGATGAATAATCAACCAATAGTTCTAGTAGTGACGATCCCAAAAGTAGCTGTCATATTGGCAACATACCTCCTCCGTTTTTGTAGGCGAGATATGGAAAACGCCATACGTTTCCAATTCCAACGGAAAGCCCCACGCAGGATAACAGGAACTCCCATCGATTTCCCCAGTTGCCCCGAGAGGATATGCTCGACACCGATGCTCTCCTTCCACCGCTATGTCGATATATGGCATAAAAGCAGATAGAAAAGGTGTCTATGAAAGGAGAACTTTCTATATCTTCCTATGTATGTATCATTCAGTAAATAAGCATTGCACTCCCTAGACTCGCTGAACAGATACGTATATATATATATATATACACACTAGACGTGTCTTAACACTTGCTTATCGGACCAGTAAAATTAAAGCTGAAGCCTGTATCTTTTATTCCAGCTGCTCCTTCGAGAAGTATAGTTAGATATAAACGTTCGACCAAATTCATTTACAGTTTAGTTCAAGGACATGAGTTTAATTAGAAAAGCTGCGGAACGAAACGAATATCTCTATATTAAATGACTTGTCTATCATCATGGTGATTGTATCTAGGATAGCTGATCACACGATTTTTATGTGTTGATTGGATTGAGACGACAACGTTGATTCTGCGTAAACAGTTGTATTTTAGTTGTGACGGATCACTATGATTGCTATACGCTTGCGGTGATGATCTGAGTTATATTGACAAACTTCAAACTAATAAGGACCACTTAAGAAATAGTGATCAAAGAATGACGACGCTAAGTTTGTGATAGATGCTGTTAACGAACCCAACTCCATTCTTACGAAACTTACTACTATTACGATACTCGCAGATTTTACGAAGCTCGGCAACGATCAGGTCGTTACATGATGATAACAGCAAGAATTTACATGAAACTCTGGACCGCATAGACTCTAGACGCAGGACTACACGCACACACTATATATAGTGTGAAATATTGCCTTTATAGAATTGCCTTAGGTTTGGCAAGTGTTTAATTAAAATTTCGAGATTTACGTCAGGCACTACCGTAAAGCATTGCTTTACGATATATATAGTGCTTAGCATAAATTAACGTCTGGGAATATAGGTATGCGCGTATCTATTGTCAAAACAACATGGTCAGTTCTCAAACACATGACGGTAAGCGGTTTCTACAAAATGCTTTTGAAGAGTGCAAGTCTATGGTGATCAAAAGCCTCCAATCCCTTCGACACAACCTTACATCAACGGCGCATATATATATACGTATATTAGGTGTACGAGATATAGTTATTACTACACTCTGAACATTTTTGTATATACCAAGAAGTGAATGTACCCGTGGCTATCGTCTGGAGTCAACATACTCAGGCTTTAAATAAAAAAATAGATGTATAGAGATGTTTAGCGATGAAAGGAACTAACACGTCAGCAGAATTCAGTGTATTGTACATATCTTCATCATTACGATGTGCTCAGTCTGTGACAAGAGCATACCTGAATGCGATGCCCATTGGGTCGGTAGTCCCAGTTAGCTGATGGGTATTTATATGCAACATGTGTTTATACAAAGTAACTTTGTAATCGCATTGAAAATAATCTGCTACGCTTTATTGTTATACGAAATCATGTGGCGTGCTCGGTTTTCATGTATACGTTTGTCATAGTTCGTAACCGTCTTTCATCCCCACTCATCCGTCAACTTATGATCGCAATGCAAGGCCAAACTGCAGCTTGTAAGCCACGATAATTCACTAAAGTTAATTGGCAACTTATTGATACTGCAATAGCTAAATATATTGGATTTCATTAATCAAATGTATTGAAATTTATCTCTTAATCATACTCTTTGTAGCGTTCAGAAACGAACCTGAAACAATGACAGTGTGCAAGAGGTAGCAGTAGTAGTTTTTTTTTCTTTTTTTTTTATTACACAATAGTCTTATAATAAAAATGAAACGATTACTAGTTTAATAGAGATAGCCCCAAATCTTCGCGTAACAGAGCCATAGCAATGAGCATCCATTGTTTTTTTGCCTTAGCTAAGAAGTAATGGGAACTAGACTGAAAAGTTTAAAGTGTTGTATAACTACTGTAATGAATTCACAGAAAGCTTTAAACGAAGCTTTTTTTTTTTCTTTTTACAATTTTGACCGTTTAATCCCAGTTTAAACATAATACTTTTACTGTAAACACCTCTTATCAATTTCATTTACCTTTCGTTTACATAAAAAAAAAAACAGTAATTTCAGGAATGAAATGGAAAGCAGTAAAATCTCTAGCAAAGAGATAGGTTATTCAAAATTAACAAAAAATGATTTATATGAATAGCTTAACATACAGTCGTATATGAAAAATGCTCCTGAACAAGGCCTGATGCTGTTAATGATTTTCTGATTAAAGCTACGCTGGCTGTGTTTATGGTGACGCGCAAATTAAAAACGCAGATCGGGTATGTGAGAGCAAACCATCCACCTATACGTATTCAGATCATTCTCACATGGGATTGCGCCTTTCATGATCCCTACTTCCGCGGTCGATCTATGCCCCTCAATCCGATCCTATTTGTTTTAATTTCGCCCCGGCCTGCATTGTAAACCTTTCGTTCTTTCGCCCTTAATCGCCATAGCTATGATATTTCTGTTGGACTGCTATGAGCAATAACTTGTACAGGGAAACACTGTTGATGATCATGTTGATTTTTTTAAAAATAAATAAATGTATTATATAACCAGAACGCAGAGGCTTGACGGATTTGTTTCTATTTTTTGGTCGTGGTCAAGGCAAACCAACTAAATTAAGTAAATAATTGATTGCGTGTTGCGGGACGTATTCAGCGGACATTAGAGAGGAAACACTGAGCGAGGTGTAGTGGCAGAAAGGGTTATACGTTACCATCTTAGCACAGTAGTGCACAAACATATAATGGATGCATGATGATATACGAAGATACAAAACGGTAATATTGTTTTTAGTGTTAACATTTTTTTTTGTTATTTTGCTAAGGGACTCATGTCAGTTTCATCGGATGGATCACGCTCTCGCCCCAATTAATTTTCGACTGTTGTCATTTCGACACAGAAAACAGCAGCAGCAAACGTTTCACAACAATATTATAATATTTGTAAGCAACAGATAAATGAACGCAGTGAAAGTACACGAAATAATGATACTACTTGTGCTATGTACTAAGCCATACGAGTATACGCATGAATATATGAGAAAATGAAATACATGCCAAGATATACACAGATAGAAATTATTACCCGGACATCCGTTAATAGTTTGCGGTTGCTTCCGTGTACTTCAGCAGTTCTTTAAGTTCGCCGTAAGAAATCTGTTTTGCGCACAATGTATTTGAAACAGACTGGTGAAAAAAGATTGCGACGCGAGCGCGAAATGGATCTTTGAGTAGTGTCATCTTTTAGTAAGAACACAAACTCACTGAAGTTCCTGAGACGCGATGTGCTTTTTGAGCTATTCTTCAATGACGTGCTGATGTGCCATGCTACGTACGGTCTTCCATTTTTTATCGTGCAAGTAGCTTTGCCTGACTTAAAAAAACTTTAACCTAATGTTTACTACAGCGGACACCAGTTCACATTGCAAAACCAAAAACCACTGTTCCATTTCCATACACTAGTCTTCCGTTACTTTTTGGTGTCACCTTATGCCACCGCCATGGTGCGTTTGGATGATCCACTGCTCAATTAACTACCTGATCTTCGTGTTTTTATTTCGCTGTAAAGCGCTAAAATAGGTAATAGCTATGCTTCCCATATATATATATATATATATATATGGCAAAATACGTTCACTTTCTGTAGCTGATTCTAGAGCTTCATATTGAACTTCTAAGCAATTTTCGTCAAATACAACACCAATTTCAATGCGCGACCCATGTCGGAACACTTAGATCAAGCGCTAAGTGGTACGGTACCATTTATGGTCTCCTACTTCTTTTGCTGCTTTACGTGAGCTCAAAATATTTTTGTTACATTTACCTTAGACTTTCTTAATCATGACTATTATAAATAAATGTCTAGAGTTTCTCACTCGCTACCTTCATACAAGTAGCATTTTTCAGGCTCCTCTTGATTTGGGTGTCATACGTGTGCTTAATGATCGACTGATTGTGCTATAAATTTATACTCCTCATTCGCGTAATGCTAGTTTTTACCGATCTTAGTTGTGCGGAGATAACTACTTTCTATTGAGTGCCTGTCCAGTAGTAGCTGACTAAGTCATGGGCTAGCAAGAAGCAGGTAAAACTGATCGTTGATTGAATACCTACTATGTTTTTTTATTCGCCATCGCGGCTGAATAGATCAACAGCCTTCAAATTTGGGCGCGCGATTTTTTCGCCTAACTTGTGCGTCTTGGAGGTGTCGTGCCTCTAACATACAGTTTTATATTTGTACACAGCTCCGTCGTCTGCTAGTGGCAATGTTCGAGTACAAGTAGCTGATATTATCATTATAATATATTATGTATTATAGCACTTTCTACCTTTTACTTTTTTCTCCAATAGAACGGCTTACCTCTCGTCTAAAATGAAATGTCTCAGTTGCTTCTCCTATATATTCAAAACAGAGTACCTTTTTCTCTACCTTAATTGCGTTGAAAGGAGATAATGATAGTAATATGTAAATAATATTATTTTATTTACGTATAACAATTGTACCTTCGAACCTCACAATTTTATTTGCTTTCTACTGATAGGGTTCTTGATCTTTTCGTGTAGGTTCGTTTGTTTATTCAGATATACTTGTGGATAGTTCTGATTAACTCCAAAAAATAAAGAGAAAAACAAATGTACGTTTTAATATAAATTGTGTGCACCTACATTTGCATGAAGCGTTGCGGTTACGTATTGCTCTACTTGAGATCTAATTCGTATTGTTTTTTCTTAATCTTCTAGCTGATATCGCTATGTTCTACGCGTTTTTCAAATAGGTAAACTCATTCCAAAGAGACTCATAGAAATAAATTAACTCATTATAGTGTATCAGACAATGCGCTACATTGATGACATACTAACGTACCTATAGTGGGAACATCAAATATTCCATTATGTTACCCATTTCTGATACGCGATGGTCAGCCATACTGGACCACCTTTCCGGAGTATTTATAGTTTTTCTGCCATGCCTGTATGAACAATTGTTACAACAGCAAAGTAACGTAACGCATACGTATGATGTCTGTGTCTGAACTGTAGTAGATCCGTCGACATCGTTACTTGTGCCAAGCCAGCGGTAGCACAGCCTTGACGGCTAGCGACCGATTCGTCGGGTTTGTGCTTCAGTAAAAAAGAGACCTCCCAATTTTCGGTCTTCCATAGTGAGCTTACGTCAATGTCGTATGGTTTCTGCCAGGCTGGATGATTTTTGTTTCCTATTAACTATAACTATGAAGAGCGCTTTCAGTTAAAGTGTTATTCAATGTAAATAAACGTTACCATGGTGGGCAGAACGAAGACGTTGGAGAAAAGCATTCGGATAGATCAAAATGCTAACTACAACAAATACATTTCGATAGGAACTTCATTTTATGAAGGTAGCCCATAAATTAAAATTCTAAATATAATTATTGTCGAGAAGCTTATATATTGCGAATTATACTAGAAAGTGCGCCCAAGCATTAGTTACTGTGAATGACATTATTATGGATGATAACAACGTAGCGTTGGGTACACGATAGGCTCTAGGTAGAGCGCCCGTCTGATAGAAGGGCTCTTCAAAAACCCTGCGTTTAGTTGATTAACTGGTCAGGAACAGTGTTCTCCAGTATTTTACTTAGTGCTAATTATTACTTCTGCTATATTTGCTCATTTACCGAAAAAGTTTCAACTTGCATCAGTTATTGACTATAGAATGACTATCGTTTTTTAATGCCGTAAAGCTGCATCGTGTATCTTATAGAAAAATTTCAAGTCTAGATAAGCGTACGATACCGCTGCGATATGCGTGACTTATTTCAAAAATAGTAATAATACCTTCTCCAGCGGACCGATTAGAGTTACCGGCATTAACCGCTAATATTATTACGACAAAACGGAACGATTTAGAGAGTTATCAACTATTACTAGCTAATAGAGACTATACCCGTTGGCATTTCTTGTCAATGTAACCCAGAGCAACATGCCGCGAATATTAAAATAGCGTTGCCTAGTACGATATATATATATATATATATATATATCGAAGGGAGCGGTTGTAAATCGAAGGTCAAAACATGTGTGCAGACCTTTCGCTCACAGAAGGCATAATGCTTGGTACCCAACGTGCGGGCCGGTGGTTAGTATTGTTATTATATCAATGCCTGTTCATCGAAATATGTGCCTTTTTTTTATGCCAAAGTGTGCTTCTTCATAGCCATGTAGTCCCTTTGAGAATATCGACAAATCATCAGCGTTGCACTTTAGCTTGTTAAATAGTTAGCTGGAATCTTCGTCGGCATATCGTCGAATGGTGAGAACGTCGAACTCTCACCCGTGCTATTACACGTGCTACTATTATTATCGAGCATCACAGTCGCTACCAGCATCAAGTTGACTCCATCGCGTTACGAAGTACAATATCCTTAACTCAGTTGTGGTCATTGGAAAGAGAAAGGTCGAAAATTCGTGACTCAAGTAGTTCCAATTCCAATGCTCCCTGAAGCTTCAAACTCGACTAGACGAATGAGGTGATGGCTGAATTTTCGGGGAACGCCAAGTTATCATTCAAACAGTTAGTTTCCGATTAGAAAGGCAAAATAGAATAAAAACTATCAGCTGAATCGACAGCATCGAAAAAGGCTACGCAGTTAAGCCTTGTAGGAGCAGAGGCTGATTCCCCTGCTTTTCTAGTGAACAACTATACTATATAGATGGCAGTGAAGCTCTTTATATTTACTTTTTACCAACTGAAAATTGTCAGCATCTCTCCTGATTTGGCCCCTATAGCAGAAACAGAATGTGTCATCAACATAAGTGTACCTCTGCAATCGTGTGTGGCTATTGCATGCATATGACGAATATATTGAGACGTCTATTATTTAACGACGTCAGTTTTTTGTACAGAACTTTGTTGGAGTTGTTTTTTCCGGTCGTCGATCGCCTTCGGGAGACCTATTAAGTTGGGCCATATGGGCGCTAGTCAATTCCAGATAGCAGATGTAATTTAAGTAGGCTACAAAAGATATGTAGCTTAAACCTGTATTTTTTAGAATCTTAGTTTCTGACAGCGGAGTACAGTCAACGTAGATCGCTTGGCGCACGCTTTGAATTGCTTCGAGACGGTGATTTAAGGTAAGCTTTGCAAATATTCGTTCGGGGGCCGGCGTGATAACGCCAACGAAATACAAACGGGGCAATGAAAATTGCCTTTTTTTTTTTCAATAATCCTTCGCTGTATCCGCCTGTTGCATTGTTATTTGTTGCTAGGTGTCTTACTAACCTCCCTTTCTTGGTCGAATTACTTCGCTGATGGTGGTGCGCGTGGTGTTGCAAATCCATTCCGTGGAGTGATGAGGCATCTCGATGAGGCATCTCGAAAGCCGCATTGATTTCCCCCTCCTGAGAATGAAAATGTCCCTTCTCGGTGCTGTTGTTATTGTTGCTTACTTCGTCCTTGTCCGTATTGCCGTTGCTCCGGCAGTGATTGGAACGCCTTTGTTCCTTTATGAGTGCTTGTTGTTGTTGTTGTTGTTGTTTTGGGGGACACAGGCGCTGGTTGTTGTTATCGTTACCGTCGACGGCTATTGTAGCAATTCGCTTGGAGTCTTCGACAGGTTCCGGTTTTTTTTTGTCCTTGTCCTTCGAAATGACCACAACGTTGTTGTTGTCGGCCCATAGGTTGACCGATTTTATGCCCTGCAGAAGAAACAGAAGAGAGTGAATATTTATGTGTAAATAATAATAATATGATTACAAAGCAGAGTGTGTATCTGCTGATTTCTTCCTCACTGCCTTTTGAAGAATGTGTATGTACGTGCGGAAATCTGTAATTGGCGATCGAACGGTTCAAGCTTAGTTGTTGGTTCACACAGTAACATATGACGATGCATGCTTTTACAAATTAATTATTTCCTTTTTTCTTCTTTATGCACACATCATTCCATCGGCGTTAAATAAGCGACGTAAAAGAGTGTGCGTGACGCGAGAAAGAGTTCACTGCACACACATCGTCAGCAAGCGATGGATGTTTGAGGTTGACCATGAAACGCTATTCGCATAAAAATACAGTTTCAAGAAAATTAAATAATAAAAAAAAAAGAAAAAGTAATGGAAAGTTACAAAATTCGATTATCAGCTACTATATACACAAGTTTATATATATATACTCCTTTAAATTGTATTGTCGCATAATATGTTTTCAAATAAAAAGGAATACACCTTTTTCATTTTTTTTATCATATTTTTATCACTAGACTGCGAAATGGTTGCAACCCGACAGGATACGTCTTAGTAAAAACGCGTGGGCAACACGTAGTGTGCAGTTGTTCATGAGGTTCTCCACCCGCCGTTGTCCACCCACCCACCCACCCATTTAGGCGGGTCTAGGCATGTTATCATGTGTCTTAAAGGTGTTTTATCTGTTTATTCGTACTTAATCTTTATTACAGCGTGCCTGTTCGCCATCGTGCTTGATAGCCTTCATTTTAGCTACCTTTAGCCGAAATTTGACGTGCACTCTTCTACACTATATTAATTAAGCTAAAACATTTTTTACGCCTTATATATATCTTCATAATACTCCCTGATACTTCCTAGCATCAAAAAGTCACGTGCTTGAATAACAAATTCATAATAAATACATGCACATCGATGAGAACGACAATGCACACTGTAGTTTTTCACACATAATGCTTGTGTAAATCACGGCTTCAGCACAATTGATATGGAAGACAGAAATCACTATACGCGTTCCATTTTCTTTAACTTCCAGCTGCTAACAAGTTCTAGTTACTGCCTATGGCCACTTATCTACGATCGTAAATGATATTACGTCCGATTTCAGAAATCAGCATCACACATTGACGCGATGGTCCACACAGTTGTCGCTCGTACCTCTGAAATCCAACGACGTCCAATAGTCTCTAGTAGATATGTGTCTGTATGACCTGTCTTTATCTTTTGCCGATTTATTTCGGTCCTATGATATGTATTCTCTGATCCATTAACTATAAAGCAAACTTGTTTTCGGAATCGTGATAGTCAATATATGGAAATTCCGATACCGAATGACTATGGTGTCAAATATGTGTGCGTCACGGCCGGCAGCACTGAACATGCTAATACTGATCACACCATGACGCACGTGCGTGCGTAAAGCGAGCATATTCGTATAACAAACGACAACAATTCGCCATATAGTTGGCGGGAAAAACCGCAATAGAACTTGCACATACGCACACACAGTAGAACTCGTTACGGTTTTTTGAACTTAATCGCCGTCGTCACTGTGTCTATCGTGTATTTTACTCTTGGCAAATGGCGGTACTCCAACGAACCGTACACCCCTTAAGATAACGCTTCAGATGACGTCTCGGAATCTGCTGTCTCTTGACGCAAGTCGCAGTGTTTTTGGGGCCCTTGCTTTTCGAGTGCACCACCCGTCGGCCAAGCCGGCCGGCCGGCCTGCCTGCCTGCCTACCTGCCTACTTGCCCATCGGTGTGTGAGTAAGGGCCATACAATGTCCACCACAGCAAAGACATCAGCATCATCTACTGGACTGCTGCTCAGGCTGCCGCTGTCATCATCTCATCCGTATCTCTTTCCTTATTCGTCCTTTTGTCTCCTTTTTGCAGTGGGGCTGCTTATTGAATCTGCCTCTTGATCGCAGGCCAAGCCGGGTATCCATCAGTTAAGTTGACTTCGGTTCGTTTTGTCTTGCAGGGTGCGTTCTGCTGCTGTACGCAGACCACGTCACAGCGGAGAATGAGCAGGCGGCGGAAAAGACACCACCGCCATCATCAGCATCGACGACGACCATGGCCTGTCAAGTCAGCAGCAGCGACAGCGGTAATAGCCGCAAAGAGATTTGCGGGATGGTCACAACGAGATCCGCAACAGAAATGACAGGAAAGGGTTGCTAGCTGCTGAGCTACTGCCGTGATGTTGGATAGAGCCGCAATCGTTGACTCCTTATAGTCCACCTTGGCTATAGCTCTGCATATTTAAATGGCAGCCATTGCAGCAGCTGCCGTCGCCAATTCTTCCGAAGATAAGTCATCCACCGTTCATTCTATGCCACTACAATCATCATCACCCACATGCGCTTTATATATGCGCATTTGTATATATGTACAGGCAGTGCTTTCGCATTCGTTGGATGCAATACATACAATATACAGTTGGATAGGCTAATATGCCACAAGCTGCCAATCAGCCGGCCGGTCAGTGGCGGCGGCTGGTCCAGCAACCAGGATTGACGACAACCTTTTTTTTTTTTATCAACAGCAGTAACAGGAATAATGACAGCGACAGCAGAAATGGGTAACAGGCACAAACGTTGTTGTTTCCTAGTGATGTGGGTAAAAAGCTGTACGGCGACCGTCAAGGTGGAGCTAAATGTTTGAATTCGCCTAACTGAGCAAACGATCAAATGAGTGATTATATATTCGCAATTCTAAAAAATCGCTGAGAACTAACTGCTGCGACCGGCTTCACTGAACACAATATAGAAAATGTATAAAGGTTATTCGCGCCAATGGTTGAACGGGGCCTCTCAAATCGGCAGAGGAAACGAGACGTTCTGCAGAGCTCCGACTAATCAATGGTATACCTTAAATGATTGTCTGGGTTAAGTCATTATGATTTGTTCAGTACTTAATAGAGTTTGCAATTTCATCTGATTGTTGATTGTTGATTGATAACTGTAAACAAGCATAAAGGAGACAGCTAACGAGAGAATTCGGATGTGCTTTTTTTTTTACAGAATATATAAGCAGTTTAAATAAGACGAATGCGATTCACGGGCAATTTTAAATGGTATTTTTTTTTCTTTCATCAAGGTATCATAGCGGTTGAGCAACATAGGGACTAACGGAAGTTAAAATATTTCTGCCCTATACGTAATAATTAATAAACTTACCCTTGTTGGCAAAGGTCATGTCATAGGTGCTCCAATAACAATTGATTGTATATATATACTTTACAAATTTGTAGGTTAAAGACCGCATTAATATCTAGAAGCCTAGCCATATAAGAACCAAAAACATTTTGATTCCAAATTTTCAGCGCCTGCGCCTGCGCCTGCGCCTACCTCGTCCTGCGCACCTTTATCGTAAATTTGATAAAGAACTTGAATTGTACAATAGTATATCGATCTGTAACATTCAAGAAGTAAATAAAGTCGCCTTAAAGCAATCTTTCTCAATATCCAATTTGAATTGCACATACAATAGCAACAGGTTAGATTCGTATAGAACTCAAAGGACAACAGCATGAGATTTCCTGTTCTACGAGCTTCTTCCCTATTCGTATATATACAGATATCGAGTGGAGCTCCCATTACCGGATATCAATTACACGTGGATACGATTACCTGTAGGTCGTTATGCTGTACTCATTGTTAGAGTATTTGTGCTAACTAGGGGACGAGGGTAAATATCTGCGGGCACACTGAAGCATGCCTGTATCTGTTTCCTCCCAGTAATTTATACTTCAATGATCATCCAATGTGGATCATTTATTTACCCGACGATTTCATTGACCAATGGCAGCTATTGATCCGAGCTTAGCGACTGGGCCTTGGTTGGGGGTAAGGGGGTGGGGGGCGACGATATTTACTAGCCGCCCGCGAGCTAATTACGAGGCAAGCTGCACTAACATTGCTTTCACACTGGGAAGGTTCAAGAAGTCGCGCACCGTAAACAGATGCGCCGCGATCGTTATCGTCGGTGCGGCCCTAGCATTCATAGCGCGCTGTCAGGCGGCGAGAACATTTTCCCTTTGGAGAACGACAGCCTAGATCCTGAATAAAGTTGTGCGTCCCTCTGGGGACTTCTTTGTGTAATTTTCTATGGGGTTAATTTATGAGCAAAGTTTGCACTTTTTAAGTTAATTTAGATTATTTATTAGGTACAACGTTCAAGGTAATAAAACAATAGTTTATTCTCAAAGAAGACAAATAAGATGTTGGTGGAGAAGTAGAGCGGGACACCGCATTTCGTTTTATGGTTCGTTATGTGACTACTGACGCATGCAAGCGCACTCGTAATAACGATCTCCACCCATTGTGATAGAGCGCTTTGAAATATGATGTGTGAAGTACGGTCGAATAGTACTATATTTTATATCAAAACTTTCGATATATGTAGCTTGCTTGATGCTTAACAGCGCCCACAAATCTTATCCCAGAAACATCTCTGTAAGGGTTAACTTCATATATACGTATAAGCGAAGTCTTGCGCATGTCGATCGCTAGCGTTTATAGTTACGAATGAAATAAAGAGCACGGGTCATCTCTCCCATTTACACAATTTACTCTACAATTTACCTAGGCAGTAAGGGAACAAGTTTAGGTAAGGCTAAGTTAATTAGTGTGAGAAAGCTCTTTAAGCATGTCTCATGTTGTGACCACGTTCGGATTCGAGCATTTTAAGGGTCTTTGAGAGAATCTACGTGTGTACATGTACAGAGATACAAGAGCCGTTTATTTTTAGCAATTGGCCCATTAAACGAAAGATCTGCCAACCTTCATTATTATTATTATTATTGGTAGTTTACTTGGACAAAACGAAATGTGTGTATACAATTAATCCAGACGTTCTCAGTCAGATTGCTGGCGGCATCTAGCATTTTGCCAACGCTTTAGACGTATAAATTCAGCCACGGTTGCCGTTCTTGCGAAGCGAGACCTTGGCGT